TGTAGATGGTTGTTCCACTTGGTGTTCCTGCAGGGAGATCCATCAGTGGAGAATTGTATTTGGCCATCTTGCTCTGCTTCCGCAGGTCAAATATAAATGTTCTTATTGCCATCTGGAATGGTGAATCCTTTTCATGGGCTTTTCCAGTTACTTTGCCGAGAGTCCACTATCTATGGCAGCTACAGCCTCACAAAGTGTATTTCTTAAATAATAAGACTTGGAAGTTGAAATTATTCCTTGATCCATGGGCTACAGGATAGATATTGTGCTAGCAAGCATGAAAACAACATTAATCTTGTACATCTCTATCTCCATCAGATATCCGGGGTGACTATGTGCATTATCAAGAGGCGGTTGTACTTTGAAAGCAAGCCTTTTTTTTTGAGCAGTGGGTCTCAAAAGTGAGCTTAAAATATCAGTAAAAACTGCACTGTAAACAGATATGGTGCCATCTAGGTTTTGTTGTTCTGTTTATAGAACACAGGCTGAGTAGTTTTAGCATAATTCTTCAAGGCCTTAGGATTTTCAGAATGGTAAATGAACACTGACTTTAAGTCACCAGTTCCATTGGCCCCTAACAAGAGAGTTAGCCTTTTCTCTGAAGCTTTCAAGACAGGCATTGACTTCTTTTAAGCTATAGAAGTTCTCGATGGCATCTTCTTCCAACATGGGGCTGTTTCATCTACATGTAAAATCTGTTGTTTTGTATAGTCACCTCCATCAATTATCTTAGCTAGATCTTCTGCATCATCTACTGCAGCTTCTACATCAGCACCTGCTGCTTCACCTTGCACTTTTAAGTTATGGAGATGGTTTCTTTCCTCAAAACTCATGAACCAACCTCTGCCTGCTTCCACCTTTTCTTCTGTAGTTACTTCCAACCTCTTAGCCTTCACAGAGAGTTACGAACTTGTTCCGGATTAGGCTTTGGCTTAAGGGAATGTTGTGGCTGGTTTGATCTTTTATTCAGAACACTCAGATTTTCTGTGTATCAGCAATAAGGATGTTTTGCTTTCTTCTCATTCATGCACTTACTAGAGTATCACTTTTAATTTCCTTTTAGAACTTTTCCTTTGCATTCACAACCTGGCTGTTTGGCACAAGAGGCCTAGTTTTTGGCCTTTTCCAGCTTTTGCCATGTCTTCCTCGCTAAGCTTAATCATTTCTAGCTTTGGATTTAAAGTGAGAGACATGAGATTCTTTTCACTGGAACACTTAGAGGCCACTGTATACTTACTGATTGGCCTAATTTCAATATTGTTGTGTTTCAGCAAATAAGGAGGCCAGGAAAGGAGAGAGATTGGGAACACTGCTGGTGAAGCAGTCGGAACACATGCTACATTTATCAGTTAAGTTTGCTGACGTCTATGGGCACAGTGTGTGGTGCCACCAATTAAAAAGATCACACTGATTGCAGACAACTGTAACAAATATAACAGTAAAGAAGAGATTTGGAATATTGTGAGAATTACCAAAATTAATGCAGACATATAAAGTGAGCACATGCTGTTGGAAAAATGGTGCTAGTGGACTTGTTCTATGCAATGTTGCCACAACCTTCAATTTGTAGGAAAAAAAAATGGCTGGACAAGGCTCACGTCTGTAATCCCAGCACTTTGGGAGGCCAAGGTGGGTGGATCAGGAGGTCAGGAGTTCAAGACCAGCCTGGCCAAGACGGTGAAATCCTGCCTCTACTAAAAATGCAAAAAGTAGCCAGCCAGGCATGGTGGAGGATGCCTGTAATCCCAGATACTCGGGAGGCTGAGGCAGAGAACTGCTTGAACCTGGGAAGCAGAGGCTGTAGTGAGCCAAGAGCATACCACTGCACTCCAGCCTGGGTGACAGAGTAAGACTCTGTCCAAACAAAAAAAACCCCAAAAAAACCCCCAAAAAACCCACATAGTGTCTGTGAAACACACTGAAGCAAAGTGTAATAAAATGAGGTTTGCCCATACTTCATTTACTTTCACATAATTTGATAAATTGCTAAGTTCTTCTGACAAAGTATGATTGCTTGCAGAATCTTTCTGCCATCTACTTATCATTTTATTGATTAAACAAATTTTTTTTCCTAAATTGAAATTTAATCACTGCATTGATCTTCTTAACTTCATAAACCTCTAACTCATCCTTTCTTTTTGTCCTGAATTGCTGTTCACACGGACAAAGTATTTTTAAAAACAGACACATATATTTAACTTTCATTTTCAAACACTATAGAGTTGCTACATTCTGTGATCTATACTTGTAATGCAATAGCTGAGAAGATCTATTGCTGTTACTACCAAATTTAAAATAATACACTGAACACATTTTCTGCAGGATCAGACATTTTTTTAAGTTACTAAAAACAGATTATGTACCCTTTTAGAGGAATGATTTAAGGAAAAAAATTTCATATAGTAACATTTGAATGAGTTGACATTAGTTTTTACAATACTTTGACCAATTACCAGTTTTGCAATTTGTACGACCAGCTGTTGTTTTTAGATTCCAGCTAGTTTTGTGTATAAATAGAGTATTTTATGTGCCTTTTCCCTTCCCTTTATGTGTCTTTACACGGTAGAAAGGTTTCCAAAGGCAATGGCAATTAGCGGTGCTATCTGAGGCTAACTTCCCAAGCAATTTAGGCAAACAAGATTTTAGCCTGAATTTTCCAGGTAATTGCCTTGTTTTGCTGCTAAGGGCAGTTTGGGGAAGAGTAGCAGGACTAGACTAAAATACATTTTTTAAATCTGTACACTCAATAGCAGCGTGTGTTTGTAACTGTCATGTATTTTGGGAGATGAACAATGATGCCCCATGGCAACAATATTTGGCTGAAAGATCAAACCACCTAGGTGAATTAAATATGCAGCATTTCTGCTAATACTCCTAAAAATATTCAATTGTTATACCACTGTAAAGATTTTCCACTTTTCATACCAATATCTACCCCCACCCCCCAACTACAGCATCATATTTTTATACAGATTTTTTTTTTAAGCATAATAACACCAGCACCAAAACCCCACTGTTTCAGATACACAGTATACCAACCCATTAAACGAGTCAGTGCAGCAAAAAGCAAGCCTGTAGATTCAGGCAACCCAGATATTTACTAACTTTGAAAAGTTATTAAACTTCCAGAAGCCTCAGTTTTCTCATCTGAAAAGAGGCAATACTATATGTTTTCATGAGCTTGTGCTCATGCCAACTGAGAAAACACCAATACAGTCACAACCCCTAATAAATATGCTCATTCCTGCTTTGCAGAAGTTTTCTTTAATAATATTTATTTATTTATTTATTAGAGACAGGGTTTCACTCTGTCAGTCAGGCTGGATGTAATGGTGTGATCACAGCTCACTGCAGCCTCAAATTCCTAAGTGATCCTCCTGCCTCAGCCTCCCCAGTAGCTAGGACTACAGGCAAGCAGCACCACTCTGGTAAATTTTTAGATTTCTTCCGATATGGGGTCTTGCTATATTGCTGAGGCTGATCTATCTGCTTGCCTTGGTGCCCCAAAGTGCTGGGATTACAGGCATGATCCACCAGACCCGGCTTCTTTAATTATTTTTAATAAATTTATAACCACAGGTTTAAAATGCACTTTTAAATTTTTGTAAACATTGCACACTTCTGAATGTAATGCCTCAAGATAGTACTTACTCACTTTACATATATGATGTAAAATATACTACCTTTTAATTTTCCTAAATCTGCCTTTTTTAAGTTTCAAATAATATCCTTAGATTTTATAATCAAAGAAAAAATTCTTGTAGCCACACTTTTCATGATTTCTAGGCCTCTTTAACAATTAACATCTCTTAAATGCTTGGGACTTCTTTGCCAAAGTGAGGCAGAAAACTGCCAATTAAAACCCAGGTCATTTAAGTATATGCAAAGTTTTAACATAATTACCCTAGAACAATAATTTGCAAATGATGGGGAACTCAAAGACATATTTAATTGGAAAGAAAAACATTTTTTAAAGGTACTTTTGATATGATCGGCCTATTGCTCAGCAGAGAACTGCTGTTTGGGCACTTCACTTGGCTACAAAGATGTAGGAAAGGCAGGAATCTTAGAGCCACTGAATTGTGTTGGTCTTTGAGAGCTCATACTGCAGGGAGCAGTCCGTATTAGCTACTGACTTGCTTCCGAGTACCATTTGAGGTGTGGATCATAATCTTTGTTTATTTTTGAGATGAAGAAGTCTCGCTCTTGTCCCCCAGGCTGGAGTGCAATGGCATGATCTTGGCTCACTGCAACCTCTGCCTCCTGGGTTCAAGCAATTCTCCTGCCTCAGCCTCCTGAGTAGCTGGGATTACAGGCGCCTGCTAACATGCCCGGTTAATTTTTGTATTTTTAGTAGTGACAGGGTTTCACCATGTTGGCCAGGCTGGTCTCAAACTCCTAACCTTAGGTGATCCACCAGCCCCCGCCTCCCAAAGTGCTGGGATTACAGGTGTGAGCCATGGAGCCTGGCTTGAACATAATCTTTAAGCAGTTAGAGCCCTGAGTAATTTAAAAATTTTATGTCTCTATGCAGTCACTGAGATAAGCTATTTTTCCCCCTTTCCTTGTATAATGGTCTAGAAGGCAGGGTGTGTTCCTCTGAGGGTCACTGTCTGCAGATTTTCCAGGCTGTTGATCCTTTTTTTTCCTTCTTATAGACTGGATTCTTCTGGTAGAATGACTCCCCAGTGTGAATGCTTTAAAAAGATGACTTTGTTGCTTTTGACTCAGCTTTTAAATATCTTTTAATGCGTTTTAAATTTTCATTTGCTTCCTCAAAGTAATCCATAAATTAGTCTATAATTTTATCAACTGCAATAAATCAGCAATACAAGGTTTACCAGAGTTGCCTGTAAGGACAGGCAACTTATGTCATTTACTAAGATCTTGTACCTGCATGTAGATAACCTAGGGGTGTGACTGGATTATGGCCCCAAAGACATTCTTCCAGTAGAGGCACACAGATAGGTGACGGTGAACATCTCAGTTCAGTGATTTACCTTGCAGCGCATTTGTTCTGCATGGAGCTCTTCATGGTGATCCGGTAGAGACTGGGAAAGCTTCTTTTTGAAAGTTCGTAGTTTCTCCAGCGAATCTGCTATTCCTTTCTCACATTTTTCCCAGTCCTATCATAGGAATAAGAACAAATAACATAGACATTTTTTTTTTTGATGTAGGAAATTGGAGGAAAAAAGAAAAAAAAAAAAAAAAAAAAAAAAAAAAAAAAACCCTCTTCTTCATTCCCAGAGAAAATGAAAGTTACACTGATGGCAGAGTGTAGTGGCTCATGCCTATAATCCCAGCACTTTGGGAGGCCGAGGCAGGTGGATCACCCAGGTAAGGAGTTTGTAAACAGCACGGCCAACACGGTGATACATTGTCTCTACTAAAAACGCACAAATTAGCCAGGCATCGTGGCAGGTGCCTGTAATCCCAGCTACTCGGGAGGCTGAGGCAGGAGAATTCCTTGAACCTGGGAGGCAGAGGTTGCAGTGAGCCGAGATCATGTCACTGCACTCCAACCTGGGTGAGAGAGCAAGACTCCATCTCAAAAAACAAAAAAAAAGAAAGTTACACTGATGAACAATATGAAGGTACACCCACAGCCATTGCCAGGGGAGGCAGCATGCCGTTGCCATCAGAACAGCTGAGTTCAAAACTGACTCTGTTACTTATCTGTGTGGCTTTAAGCACATAATGCTCTCTTTCCATTTTCTCCTTGAAAATAGAAATAATACAAACTCTCTACATTTATTGGAGGCCAAAGGAAGCAATGGGTATCAAGGCATCAAGCACAATGACCAAAATATTATGGGTACCCAAAAATGTTATCTAAATCCAAATCTATCTGCAGAGGTAGGACTATAATCTCAGTACCTTGTCTCTTTCTTAACCCCATCCATAATTGCACCCAATGTCTACTCTCTTCTAAATGTACTACAAGGGATTAAAAAAAAAAGGATATGGAATCTCTTACAGGAAGAGCAACACGCACTACAAAAGCATGGCATTTTTGACTGGCTTGTTAATTCTGAAACGTATGTAGCAAAGGATTAAATGTGTAATACATTAAAAACCCATATAAATGAAGATGTAGAACAAGAGAGATAATACATAATTTAAGAAATCTATATCTACTATGCCAAGCAGTGGTAAGTGCTCTGGAGCAGAATATGGCAGGGCAGGTGGTAGAGGTTGGCAGTAGAGAATCAGGTAGATCTCTATGTACTGACAAAAGAAAACACCTATTGTGTGGTTATGTTTTGAAAGATTACACAGCAAACTGGTTTAACAATTAGGTGTGGTGGTACATGCCTGTAATCTCAGCTACTTGAGAGCTGACACACAAGAATTGCTTGAACCCAGGAGGTGGAGGCAGCAGTGAGCCAAGACTGCACCACAGCACTCCAGCCTGGGTGACAGAGTAAGACTCTGTCTTAATACACACACAAAAAAAGAAGATAGGAGAATTTGGATGGTAGGATAAGGGAAATTTCACTTTTTACTCTTCATATTTCAATTATTACCTAATTTTAAAAAATCAGACATATGTTTTTTTTATAAAAGAGTAGAATTTTTTTAAATGACAGAAACCACAGTGGAGCTTGATTTTTTTAATAGCACTTTATCTACACATTATCTCAAATCCGGTGTCTTAGTGCCAGCGAAAATTAAATTCAACTAACCAAGTCTCTGTTTTGTTCAACACTGTCCATTTGTCATCCTGTCCAATCCAGGCCTTCCTGCTACCCACGCATCTCCCCAGTGGCCACTCCCTACACCATGAACGACAGAATTCCAAAGCCAGACAACTAGAATCATGGTTAGAATCCTTTTTAGTAGTCACTATGGAGTCAAATCACATTCCATCTTCCTTCATAAAATCTCTCTCATTATCAACAGTCTTTTCTTACCTGGATTCTTTCTACTTCTGACATCTTAGTTTTAGCATAACAGCCCGTTGGTGTTATTAGCATAACATCCTGTTGGCGTTATTAGCACAACTAATTTCTGGAAGCAGTGTTGAGTAAAGTGTCTCCTTATTCAATATGTCTTTATCAAAAAATGAACTGAGAGCTTGACACGAGTCTCATTTCTCTTTAAAATTCCTTCATGGAACTTCTTAGAGTGCATAACCACATTCCCTCTTCCCAGTTACCAGAAAAAAAAAATCATTAAAAAAATATTTGTCCATCAGGGACAGATTTGTTTAAATCCTCCTTTATTTTAAAATATCTTTGTGTCCCCAGACTACAGTTAGCTCATCAATGCTAACCATAGTGAGGGTAGACAAAAAGATTCTCTTTCTGCTTAAACAACATTCTCAATAAAACTATCAAACACCCTGAAATCTATCAGCATGCAATTGATCAAAGTTTACTGATCTAAAAGAGATAAGTTCATGACAGGCACCGTGGCTCACACCTGTAATCCCAGCACTTTGGGAGGCTGATGTGGGCAGATCACTTGAGGCCAGGAGTTCAAGACCAGCCTGGCCAACATGGCAAAAACTCACCTCTACTAAAAATCAAAAATTAGCTAGGTGTGGTGGTGCATGCCTGTAATCCCAGCTGCTTGAGAGGCTGATGCACAAGAATCACTTGAACCCAGGAGGTGGAGGCGGCAGTGAGCCAAGATTGCACCACAATACTCCAGCCTGGGTAAAAGAGTAAGACTCTGTCTCAAAAAACAAACAAACAAAAATCAGCTTCTTATTTTTCAGAACAAAATTAAGAGACGATAGTGAAGAAGGTGAACATAGAGGGCATGGAATTATAATGCCTATTTTTGGCATACTTACTAAGAGTATTAAAAGCTAAATATAGATAAGCATTAAAGCTGTGGTAAAAAATACACTAAAATGAGGCTATAGAAACATCGAAATTTAGATTCATAAATTCCTTCTTAGGGAAACAGGATGTAGTGTGAAGAGTCAAAATAAAATAAACTTTAACAAGAAGAGAAGAGGAATTCCTCCTTCCAAGGATGACTTAGATTCTGAATCTATAACCAAGTCCTTTTATGACATGAATTATAAGGAAATAAGTTACTGTCATGGGCCTGCAAATATCTTCTAAAGTGGATGCTTTATACACCAACAAACAGACAGATAAGAAAAGCAAATGGAGTGGCTTACACATCATGCCTTATTAAGTCTTGGAAACATCTCCAAAAATCACAACACAAATTTAAAAAGAAATTATTAACATGCTCTCTACAGGATGAGTTACAATGTTTTAAATCCCTTCCTAAAAGCAAAAGGAAGAAAAAGAACCCATCATATTACATTACCGATGAATTGTGCTATGTGTAAATAATAGTTCTTTATAGCTGTTCAGTGGCATTTTTGATGGATTGCTTCCTTCACAGAAGCCAACATATTATTAAATAAAATTCCAAAGAATAAATCCAATGGGGATGCACACTTTAAGCATTAAAAAAAGCAAAATCTGTTATACTAACTTTAGAGTCATTATCTTTGATCCAAACATGTGACAGGCTAAATTTATTAGATACCATCATTCAAGTGTTGGTGATTATCAACATATATAGGACCATAGCATTTAGCTGCCTTTACTTTTAAAGATCATTGTACCACTAGCCATAGTAATTACTATCATTCATTTAGTGCTCACTATGAGCCAGGTAAGGTACCACATGATTCACTATCATTATTTCATTAAATTCTCACAATGGCCACATGGACAAGGTGAAATTATATACCCACTCTACAGATGAGGAAACCTGAGGCTTAGATAGGCTAAGTTAACATGTCACTTGGTTTACTATGATTTTAACTTGCGATTATCTTATTTTAGAGCCCCTGTCCTTTTTAAACTGCTCATTTAATTATGCAATATACATGCAATTGGACAGTGAGAGAAAAAAGTATATTGTGGGAGGTCCAGATAAATCTACGTTTTCCAAAACTTACTGTGTGATCCAGCAGGGGGCGCGTTAAGAGGTAGAGAGGCTTCCTCAAAGCAGTCAAGGCTGAATGAACTTCACCAGGTTAAGAAGGGCCTGGTGCGGTGAAATGAGTATCTGCATCCAACTAAGGGCTTAATCCACCTCCTGGAGACTTTAGCTTGTGGCAACTTGCTTAGGTCAGCTAAGATAAATCAAGAGTATCTTTCCGGGTTGGTTTTTCCCTTCCATAAAAGAAGAGATATCAATCTTGAAAACCACTTTAGAGTCTCAGATCAGGGAGTGGAACCTGCCCTTTGAATTTCTGTATGGATTTATAAAGTCATCACATGGCTAAGCCTTTGCACTGGCCATTAATCAGAATTCACAGCTTAGACAGTCTTATTAGGCTTTACTTTGTTGGGAGATTTTTCTGAAAAATGAAATGCTGAAAATTGGGAAACTTTTCCAGTTTGCTCAAGATAAGACAAAGTCTTAAATAAAACACAGAGGGTAAAATACTGCAGGGTATTATTTGATGATCTTTGTATTATTTGATTTGCAGAATAACAATGGGAGGAAGTAGTACAATAATTAAAAGTAGTTTTGGTTCTTTTTTTCTAACTGAACTTACTTTCAACAAGAAGGCTAGTTTTTTCTTCTGTTCCTCCAGCCGCATGCTGGCTGATTTCCATTTCTCTTGGATCTCAGTGAGTTCGGCCTGCAAAGCAGCCTCAGCTCCACTGTCCGCCGAGAGAAGGAGTTGCTTGCCAGCCTCCACAGTCAGGATGTAGCTGCCTTGCTGCCGCAGGAAAACCTTTTCTTTGAACTGAAAAAAACCATAGCTTTTTATTTTCTGATTCTTTCCTTCATTGTTTCCTTCCTATAAGAATTTTTAAATGGCATTAACTTTAAGCATACATAGATAGCATGCCCTCCTTCATCCGGCTACCATTTATTGTGGTGGTGCTTTGTGCATGGAGGCACTGGTGAATAAATGAGTGAGAATACAAGGGAGACAGGCTTAGTTTCTGTCCCCAAGGTAAATACAATTGATGCAATAAGACAACCCCTCTCTAAGATGGATGAGCAGGAATACAGAGGAAGACCTGACCCAGTAGGGGGCTCATCAAGAGGCAGGGAGGATTCCTCAAAGCAGTCAAGGCTGAATGAACTTCACCAGGTTCTAAGAAGGACCTGGTGCGGTGAAATGAGTATGTTCAAAAGTGGAAGAGAGGACACCTTCTCACAGAGAAATGAGGATGGGCACATTCACTTCGTGAGAAAAATAAGATAAATTCAGAAAACTGAATATAGTTTTCAGTGGCTAGAGTGTGGAATGCATGGGAGACAGTGGTAGGAGTGAGGCCAGGCAACATCTTGCAGAAATTTGGTTTTTCTTTCTTCTTCTTCTTCTTTTTTTTTTTTTTTTGACAGAGCAAATTTCACTCTGTGGCCCAGGCTGGAATGCTGTGGTGCGATCTTGGCTCACTGCAACCTCTGCCTCCCAGGTTCAAGCAATTCTCCTGCCTCAGCCTTGAGAGTAGCTGGGGACTACAGGCAAGGACCACCACGCTTGGTTAATTCTTGTATTTTTAGTAGAGATGGGGTTTCACCATGTTAGCCACACTGGTCTTGAACTCCTGACCTTGTGATCCACCTGCCTCAGCTTCCCAAAGTGCTGGGATTACAGGTGTGATGAAATTTGTTTTTTATACTAAAAGCGACTGGGGTTAACAAAGAATGTTGATGTTTGGATTAAAGTTTTAATAAAAGCACTCAGCAATCAAGTAAAAGTAGAATGGAAGAAGGGTATGTGTTGGATATACTAAGACAGATTAGGAAACTATTGTCTATCTGGGCTAGAAATCATGAGCACCTAACTAAGGCAGTGGCAGCAGGCGTGTAGATTTGGAGAGATTAGATAAGAGGGTGATAGACAAGGAGAAGTATAGCTCTTAAATGATTCTAGGGTTCCTATGCTACTGACACTTCCTGGATGTGTGATGGAAAAAGGAGAATAGTTGGTCCTGAGATCACAGGTTCTGCTGGGACCCACAGGGTACAAGGCATCTGTGATGCAAACAGACATAAATCCAAAATGTGGTTGGATACATGAGTCAAAAGTTCAGCAGGCTGGCCGGGCACAGTGGCTCACACTTGTAATCCCAGCACTTTGGGAGGCTGAAGAGGGTGGATCACAAAGTCAGGAGTTCGAGACCAGCTTGACCAACAAAAATACAAAAATTAGCTGGGTGTGGTGGTGCATGCCTATAATCCCATCTACTTGGGAGGCTGAGGCAGGAGAATCGCTTGAACCCGGGAGGCAGAGGTTGTGGTAAACCGAGATCGCACTACTGCACTCCAATAGAGTGATAGAGTGAGTGACAGAGTGAGACTCCATCTCAAAAAAAAAAAGTTCAGCGGGTAAATAGGACCACAGATACCAATATGCCCCTTCTCTGCTGGTAGGGGGCAGTTGAAGTCATGTCTGTGAATGAGGGCTCCCAGAGAAATTTGAAGGAGAAAGGAACTAAAGAACAATGACTTTAAAGGAAGAGGAGCCCACTGGATACTCCGGGAAGGACTGACTAGAATGACAGGAGGTAACTGTCTAAGGTGCTAGCAGCCCGAAGGTAAGGGGCAACCTGGAAATGAACAAAGAACTCAAACAGGACAGGGCTTCCTGCCTTCTTTGGAGTACTTAAGCTTCATGTTTAAATTGCTCAAGAATAAAATGTATGCAAGCAACATGAAGTTTTCCTTTCTTTGCCCTTAGCTTTTCATCCCTGCTAGGATTTAGTGAGCTGTGGGAGGCCATAGTGTGTGAAGTGTAAGGAGCCTTTGTGAGAGGCTGGGGCTTACTATCATTTCAGCATTCGATACGGGCATCGTAATTGAATCATTTTGTATGTTTCTGTTGACATTTGAGAACAATGTTTGTCCCAGTTGCAATGTCACTCTAGAGTCCTTTTGCAAAACCGAGGCTAAGGTAAAAGTGAGCGGTGGAAATATCTAAGAGGCATGAGAACGCTGTTTTGCATCTTACCTGCACTTCATCAAAGAGGGTCCTTGCTTGTTGCAGTGGTATAGGAACACTTCCGAGACCACTCATGGGGAGGTAGGACACTTCAACCAACCATTTACGAAGCTTTTCTGCCATCTCCCTGTAGCGTTGCCACTGGCGAATCTGGCTGTCAATGATCCCCCGCCTCTGCTGGGCCCTGCGAATCACTCCTTGCCACTGATTACTGAGGAGTGTCAATTTCAGGTTGAATTCATCTCTAGTGAAGAATTATGTGGTAAAAAACACTTTCATCTTGGATGCAGTTACATAATCAGCCAGTGTATACATTGTCGACAACTCTAATCTAGGGTGGCGGTTTTCAAATATTATGCTGTGATCTACTATTGGGTTACTGGGTTTATTGCAATTAATGTTTAAAATTAAACTACCTGTGTTTGCAAATGGTGAATGTTTTCATGTCTCAGCATAGGTTGAAGACAAATCTACAGTGAGGTCATCGTCCTTCCCTCTCTCCCTGACAGCATGACAGGGGAGGAGTGGACACCTGCAGATGCAATGGGAAGAGCTGCAAATCTTGAGCAACCCCACAGCAACGTGTGCAGCCCATGATGGTGATGGTGTCTTGCGGGCCACACAGCAGGAAAACGTGTGGAACAAGGCTTATGTAGAACCTTTGTTGCCAGTTAGAATCATAAGTCACTTGAATAAAATTATGTAATTTAGAAAGATTTTTAAAAACTGTACTCCATAAACTCTCTCTGTATTCCCTCACAATAAACAGCCCCAACCTTTAGCAAATCATTTCACACTTTCATCTAAATTATTTCTTCTACATTGTAGGCTGACTTCACTTCATTCTTAGAAAGATGAAAACAAATTATCATAGTCTGTATAAATGTCATTAATATATTTAGAAATAATAAATTTTACTTAAGATTTCTCAAGTTCAGGCTAAAGAATCTCAGATCTTCTAATATGTTCCTATCTGTTTTCTAGCTTTAAAAATATATAGGTAGTTCTTTATTAAGTTTTATTTAATGTTTAACTTGTGGCTCTAGAACTGGCTAGTAAGGGTTTGTCCCGCATCAAACAGAATGAGTTTTTATGTAGATTACAGTGTTATTCACACATAAAGTGCAAGTAATGTTGCACTTTAATACTAAATACTAAATGCCTGCATTTATCTATTATAATAGTATTGCTTTTCTTCCTCAGATATGCTATCTTCTTCTCTAGAGGGTAGCATCAACTTTGAATTAGACTTACTATTCTGGACTTGGGTCTTCTTGAAACTTCCTATTATCCAGAAACACTATAAATTTTGATTTTGTAACGAAATATGCTGCTACTCCTAAAAACGTATTTAATGACTCAACTTAAACAAAACATGAACAATACACAGTCAACATTAACAAAATGAGTATTAAAAATAAAATATACTATATAAAGGCCCTGCAAAAAATTTCGTATGTCCTCCCATTTTAAAAAACAAATCCATATGGGCCAGGTGTGGTGGCTCACATCTGTAATCCCAGCACCCTGGGAGGTTGAGGTGATGGATCACCTGAGGTCAGGAGTTCAGGACCACTCATAGGGAGGTAGTACACTTCCTTTTGTACTTTTAATAGAGAGGGTGAAATTCTGTCTCTATTAAAAATACAAAAATTGCCGGGCATGGTGGTGCATGCCTATAATCCCAGCTACCCAGGAGGCAGAGGTTGCAGTGAGCCAAGATAGGGCCACTTCATTTCAGCCTGGGTGAAAGTTTAAGACTCCATCTCAAAAAAAAAAAAAAGGTCCGTATGATAGCTACTTAGATTTTGATGATGACTTCTGTTTTTGAAAGGAAATTCTGATGTGTCTAATCAATTGCAGTAGCATTCAAATGTTCAAATGTGGTGAATTAGGCTCATGATGCCACCCTAAAAGTTACAAGCATCTGTCATTTCAGAAAATGTACAACTCCAGGACTTGGGAATACCGTACAGTGTTGCTTTCCCTAGCAGGTAACTACCCAAGACCTCTTAGGGTTCCCCACCGTCTCTTGGTACAACCAAGCTGTCCCAAACTACCTGCCAGCATGAAGAATTACTTAAAACATGACATCGTTCCCTGTGCTAAACTTGACGCTCTAAAAAATATAACTCATAAATTAACTTTCAGAACACAATACACTTGTAATCTGGGGTCTTCTTATTGTCAGTAGGTTCTAATCTGATATTTTTTCCCTTCAACTTTCAAAATTCTTTATCCTCAAGTCTAACCTCCCATTTTTATTGCTTTGGTATATTTTCCCTAAATGTTTTATTTAAAATTTAATCGATGCTGGCTTGCATGTATTTAATTTTTATTTTACTTAATGACTTAAATATTTATAATATTGTTATAGAGCTGGCTAAGAAATGATAAAGCAAAAGATAAAAGTTAATTGTATTTGAATTTGTTTTATTTTCAAGGCCTTAAATTCTCAGGAAAGCTCACATTTAAGTTTGGCTTACTTAGAATAGAATAAATATGATATCACATTTTGTTGTTCCAAGCTTAACCATGAAAATCTTTCATGTACTTCCAAAGAAATATCCGCTTAAAACTGAAATTGCTTCTACAACATTAAAGACAAAACTCTCAATAAAAGTAATTTATTTTCTATTTTTTGAAAAAACATCAAGTTAACTGTAGTCACAACTACTGGTTCCTAAATATGAGAAAAGTGTACATATGTAACAAAACACATGAGACTAATACTCCAAATATCACCATGGAAAGTAGAGGAGATAAAGTAAATATTGTTTCTAGGAAATGTAAATATCATATGAAACTGTCAATTCACATGCCATAAATCTGGGGAGAAGCCAAATTTTTACCTCTGCATTTTTAATAAAGGAATAATTTGCTATTGAATGAAGAGGAAGAAAGATTTCAGGTGGCATATAAACTGACTTAAGGTAGCAAACCATTTTCAAACACAGAGGAATTCTCATAGCATGAGAAAGCTCGCTGGCATGATCCAGTACTGACTGAAAACCAGACACAGGCTCCAGGCCTGATTCTGTTGCTGCTTAGTTCTGTGACCTTGGTCAAATCAGTTCATATTTGTGGATTTCAGGTTTTTCATCTATAAGTAAGAGAGATGGGCTAGTGATCGCTATGCTTCTTTTACAAAAAATAATTCTGTAATTGCATGAGAATATTAGATGCATCTGTTTACAAACCATTGATAGGTCACTGATATGGTTCATGCTGATCTATTCATTAATTCCATTCCCTACAGATGACTAGTGAAGGTTGGCTAGGTGATTTCCAATTACTCTATGCCCTTCATATAATATAATAGCAGTTCTCTAAAAAGATTCAATACTCAGTTATTTCAGAGATTGAGACAAGCCTCTCCTCCAATTACTGAGGCTCCACTGCAGTTCAATTGCCTCAGGAAGATTGGATATATGCCCTCTAATCTGCTCATTAAAAAGAAAATGACTAATTTACTGGAACCTTTCTTTATAATAATTTATCAAAGAGCCTACCTGTCATCAACTTGACCTTGTTCTAGAAGACGCTGCCCATCAATAATGATTGAGTGTAAAATCTGCTGACGACTGAACATCTCGGCTTGAAACAACTATAATTTAAAAAAAAGGAGAACATACTTTAGAGTTCCTAATTTTAGTGACCGGTTCTCTGATAACTTTCCAAATAGTCTAGTTTTAGCGAGACCATGAAAGTGGCCTCCAGCTGAATCAGAAAATGTGTGAAATCCTACAGTTTAGGAATAATTTATTTTTAAATCATCAATTAAGATGTACTCAAAGATAAAGTTCAGTGTTTGGTTTACTAAAACTAGATGACTAAAAGTAGAATTATATTTCTCTTCTTTCTTTCAAAAACCCCTAATAAAGTAAGTTAATACACAATTTGTTTTCTGGTTTATTTTGTGTCTAAAATATGGTCCATATTCAAGACAGAGGATAGCTTAGGACCTTTAAAGAAGTCAAAGAAAAAACAATAGCCCAGTTTTTTGTTTTTTTTTCTGGTCTTTTCAAACTCATTGTTTCTAAAATTTAATTAGGTTAATAAAGTTGTTTCACTATTTTCAAAACTCAACAGAAGGTCCTTTGAATTATTTGTTTTTTAAACAGCTTTATTGAGCAACATTTCACATACCACACAATTCATTCATTTAAAATGTTCAATTTAGGAATGTTTATTATATTTACAGACTTTACAACCATTACCATGGTCAATTTTAGAATTTTCATCACCCCAAAAAGAAACTCTATCCTCATTTAACAATCATTTCCCCATTTCCTCCCAATCCCCCAGCCTTCAGCAACCACTAATCTATTTTATGTCTCTATGGATTACTTATTCTGGACATTTCATATAAATGGAAGTTTGCAATCTGTGGTCTTCTGTGACTGGTTTCTTCCCCTTAGCATAATGTTTCCAAGGTTCATACATATTGCAGCATATAACAGTACCTTACTCCTTTTTATTGTGACTAGTATTCTATTACATGGACATCACATTTTATTTACCCATTTATCAGTTGATGGACATTTCAGTTGTTTCCATGTTTTGACTATTATGACTAATGCTCCTATAAACAATGTACCTATACAAGATTTTGTGTGGACACGTATTTTCATTTATCTCAAGATAAAATTGATTGTGGTAATGGTTGTAAAGTGTGTAAATACTATAAAAATTAATTTGCTCACTCTTAGTTCTTATATTGCTATTTATTGGTGTAACTAAGTTGGTATGTGTGTTTATGAATTATATGCACATGGAGAGATAGGTCTCACTTAAAAGAAAAGCTTAATTCAAAATTTTTAAAATATAGAATTTAAAGACATCTAAGGTATTTTTAAATCCAGTTTTATTGAGTTGACCAATGATGAAATAATAGAAAAAAAAAAAACTACAATGAGATTGCATCTCACACCCACAAGGATGACTAAAAGAAAAAATAGCAAATGTTGGTGAGGGTGTAAAGAAATTGGAACCCTAAGACATTGCTTATGGGAATGTAAAATGGTGAAGCTGCTTTGGAAAACAGTTAACATAGAGTTACCATATAGAGTTACATTGAGTTAAATGAAGTAATTGCATAATAAAGTAATTCCACTCCTAGCTAAGGGCTAAGAGTGGGCAAATTAATGAATTTTCTTTTTGTATATAGTTCTTTCCACTCTCTGTTTCTTGAGAAATAATTAGAATGCAATTTAATCAAGAGGTATACCTGGAAACATATGATAGCTTGAATTCCTGGTATAAAATTTACATATGCTTTTTGAAGAACACAAAAATTTTAAAGACTTTTGATCAAAGCATAGTCTCTTAAGCAATTGACCTTCACAATTGCTCTAACCCAATTTGAAGTTGTCTCTAACCCAATTTGAAAACTGCCTATCTATATGCTTTCCACTAACTTTGCCTGCTTCAAGTAAGGAGACTTTAATCACAATTTTGGCGTTATACATTACGAGGAACTGAAGGTTGACATGTGCTTATAACCAGCCACGGAGCAGCCAAGAGGACCACATTGTCATAATTGAGTTATCAAAACCTCAAGCTTAAGAAATAAGGCAAAATGATGCATGCATTTGGATACTCAGTGCAAAGGGCCTGATTTTAATTCTTTCACATAGCATTTTGTAGCATCTTCCAAAAGCCTAAAAATTTCTTATTACCCCCAAATCTACTGACATAACTTACCTCATGTGCTCTCTGCTGTTCCAAAAGATGCTGATAATTTCCTGAAATCTCTACTGCTAACTTTTGTTCTGTTTGAAGTAGGAATTCCATCCATGTTTCACATTTTTCCAAGAAAGTCTGATGTTGTAGCAAAAATGACTGTAACTTGCTAAAAGAACAAAGGTCAAGGAACAGTGGTTATTTTGCGGCTTATTCTCATATTTCTAGTATATAAAACTAGATTAAATAATCTCTGTGCTCAATTCTAACTGGGCCACCAAAAAGCTTTCATGTTAGGCAGTAAAATTCTTTTAAAAAAGACAAAAGAGGCCAGGTGCAGTGGTTCATGCCTGTAATCCCAGCACTTTGAGAGGCCAAGGTTGGCAGATCACCTGAGGTCAGGAGTTTGAGACCAGCCTGGTCAAATGGTGAAACCCCATCTCTACTAAAAATACAAAAATTAGCCAGGTGTGATGGTGTGTGCCTGTAATCCCAGCTAGTTAGGGGAGCTGAGACACGAGAATCGCCTGAACCCGGGAGACAGAGGTTGCAGTGAGGTGAGACTGCACCTTTGTACTTCAGCCTGAGTGACAAGAGTGAAACTCCATCTTAAAAAAAAAAAAGAAAGAAAATTGAAAAAATGTGAAAGTTCAAAATGTACCTTTTTAAAAATGATAAAAGTTATTTGTATCCTTTAATATATTCTTAGATGTTCTTACTTAAAAGAGTTTTCTGATTAAAGCACTATTTATTACATTAAACATGAGAAATTACAATTTGAATTTACCACTTTTAGTTCAAATTTTGTCAGTGCTATGGGAAAGATCAGAATTTATATATATACACAAATCATGCACTTATATTCTATTGATACACTGGTGCTACGGCTTGAATGCGTCCCTTCCAGAATTCAGATGTTGAAACGTAATGGTGAGTGTTGGTAGCATTGTGAGGTGGAGGCTTTACAAGGTGATTAGGCCAGGAGGACCCTGCCTTTGTGACTGGGATTAAGGGTCTTATAAAAGAGGATTCACGATCCTTGAGGAATCACCACACTGTCTTTCACAATGGCTGAACTAATTTACACTCCCACCAACAGTGTAAAAGTGTTCCTATCTCTCCACATCCTCTCCAGCATCTGTTGCCTCCAGATTTTTTAATGATTGCCATTCTAACTGGCATGAGATGGTATTTCAATGTGGTTTTGATTTGCATTTCTCTAATGACCAGTGATGATGAGCATTTTTCACATGTTTGTTGGCTGTATACATTTCTTCTTTTGAGAAGTGTCTGTTCATATCCTTTGCCCACTTTTTGATGGGGTTGTTTTCTTCTTGTAAATTTGTTTAAGTTCTTTGTAGATTCTGGTTGTTAGTCCTTTGTCAGATGGGTAGATTGCGAACATTTTTTCACATTCTGTTGGTTGCCGGTTCACTCTAATGATTGGTTATTTTGCTGTGCAGAAACTCTTAAGTTTAATTAGATACAGAAATACCAATTGCCCCAGCAATCCCATTACTAGGTATATACCCAAAGGATTATAAATTGTTCTATTATAAAGACACATGCACACAAATGTTCATTTCGGCACTGTTTATAATAGCAAAGACTTGGAACCAACCCAAATGCCCATCAATGATGGACCGGATAAAGAAAATGCGGCACATATACACCATGGAATACTATGTAGTCATAAAAAAGGATGAGTTCATGTCCTTTGCAGGGACATGGATGAAGCTGGAAACCATCATTCTAGCAAACTGACACAAGAACAGAAAACCAAACACAGCTTATCCTCATAAGTAGGTGTTGAACAATCAGAACACATGGACACAAAAAGGGGAACATCACACACTGTGGCCTGTTGTGGGGTGGGGGAGCTAGGGGAGGGATAACAAGAGGTGGGGGGGAATGGGGAGGGATAACATTAGGAGAAATATCTAATGTGAGTGACAGGGGGATGGATGCAGCAAACCACCATGGCATGTGTATACCTATTCAACAATCCTACAAGATCTGCACATGTACCCCAGAACTTAAAGTATAACAAAACAAAACAAAAAAAGGATTCACACAGCATTCAGTACTGTTGCCCTTCTACCTTCCACTGTGTGTACCCCTCCACTCCTGAAGGTAGCAGAAAGGTGCCATCTTGAAAGCAGAGAGCATCCCTCACCAGACAACTGAATCTGCTAGCACCTTGACTGTGGACTTCCCAGTATCCAGAATTGTGCGCCTGTTATACATTTCTGTTCTTTATAAATTACGCATTCTGTGGTATTTTGATATAGCAGCACAAACCAGACTAAGACAATTGGAACAACGAAGACATCTCTTGTTTACTCTACCTGAATCTTTCTGTCGTCTGAGAGGAGATCAGAGACCAATGGCGGTTCAGATTCTGCATCCTTTTGATTTCCTTATCATTCAAGGGTAACCTATATCCAAGCTCATTTAGACGGTCTAAATCTGGAGCCATGCTGCTGAATTTTAACATCAGTCCCTAGAAGCAGGATTTAAAAGTAGGCTTAGCACCATGGTCAAAAAAGGAAAAGCTTTTTCAAAGTGCACAGTGAATTTCTGATTTCAGGAAGAAGCTGGTCTTTGGTCTAGTGGCCTCTGCATTTCGAGGCCACATACTTACGATATCTACAGGTACAAAGAGCGAAAAGGCAAATCTCCTATTCAGTCTGAACTACTGCTGCTGCTATTGCTACTGAAGCTACTCATTATCCTTTATTGACTATTTACATGCATTATATTTTTCCTTGACACGTTACATTATTTACTTGTATGGATTATACACACAAGCGTATTATTTAGTTGATTTACATATATTACTCGATTTTTATTATGTATATTTACATGTATTATATTATATATACTATTTACTTGATTTATTTACTCATATGTAATTACATTACATACGTTATATTACTTATTTGGTTTATTTACTCATGTGTAATTCTTGATAGGACTGACAAAGGATGAAAATTATGCTGATAAATAAAAGGCCTTACTTCTTACCATTTATGTTTAATTTGTTCATGCTAATATCCTCCTTTATTATTCACAACAAATAAAAGTTATAACAGTGATAGCTAACATTTATTGAGCATTTACTATGAATCAAGCATTGTTAAGAGCTTTGCAAGCAATAACTCATTTTACCCACAAAACAATCACATAAGTCATGCTGCTCTTCCCTCTTCACAAGGGAGGAAAGGGAGGCACAGAAACTAAGTAAATTTCTCCAGGCCACCCAGCTAGTACATGGAAGAACAGGGTAAACAAACCTTGTTGGGTTCCTGCCAAAGGAAATACAATTTCACTTGAGCTCTGACGTGACCACACTTTGCCTTAAGAGTAGTTTTAGGTCCCTCACGCCCCACCCCAGAACTGGTGAGGGTGAGGCTCAACCAAAACAGCAATCTATTCTTTCAGATCTCTCCCCTCCCTTCAAACACAGGACCAAGTTATTGGTTCTGGTTTTCTCATGGGCATTCTTATCTCCATCTAGGAAATTGATTACAGGAAGGAGAAAATGTGAGGCCATCTTTGGCTATGTGTGTGTCTTCTCTTTGCATGCTCTGCAAAAGATCATGCTTTCTGAAGAAAGAATAAATCTCAAGTATTGAAACTAAAATATAACTAAAAATGGCATATTGTCCATGGGTAGACATCAGCAATGAACAAAATTGACATGACACAGTCCTTCCCCTCATGGCACTTTCAGGGAGTAAGATACCATTCCAGTAGTCACAAGTGTGACAACAGTCCCCTACTCACAGGAATGTAATTAAATGACACGATAGAAGAAAAACCATAGAGTGCTCTGAAAATGTGTCACTGGGGAGCCTGGCCCTGGACAGACAGTGGAGACTTTCCTAAGAGAGTGACATTGAACAAAATGACCAGGACTTTACTTTTTTAAATGAGGAATAAGCTGATGAGGACAAGAAAAAAATCCAGAGAGAGAAAATGTCTCATGTACAGACATTGGGAAGCACGGTGGCACCCGAGTGGCTGGAGGGGGAGATGGGCAGCGGTGCAACAGAATGAGATCCTCAGGAAAGGTAAGGACAGCATGCTGCCCTGATAAGCCACATGGTCTTTTCCCTAAGAGCAGCAGGAACCCTTGAAGATTTTAACCAAGGGAATAATATGATAAAATGTTCACGTCTGTTGTATTATTTTTCTTACTTTATTGAACATTTAAAATCATTCACAACTGGCCGGTGTGGTGGTTTATGCCTGTAATCCCAGCACTTTGGGAGGCCAAGGCAGGTGGATCACAAGGTCAGGAGTTCGAGATCAGCTTGGCCAATATAGTGAAACCTCATCTCTACTGAAAACACAAAAATTAGCTGGGCGTGGTGGTGGGCGCCTGTAGTCCCAGCTACTCGGGAGGCAGAGGCAGGAGAATTGCTTCAAACTGGGAGGCAGAGGTTGCAGTGAGATGAGATCATGTCACTGCACTCCAGCCTGGGCAACAGAGCAAGACTCTGTCTCAAAAAAAAAAAAAAAACATTCACAATTAAGTAAAACCCTTTGTTTTTTATTTTTAAAAATTATTAAATTACTTTTGATGAACAAATTATAATCATATATATTTATGGAGTATATGATGTTTTCATATAATGTAGAATGATTAAATCAAGCTAATTAAGTAAAACTCTAAAAAAAAGAAAGAAATCATTCTGACAGCCGGGGGAGGGGAGGTTGGGTGGGTTGATATGGATGTGTGGGAGGCCACTGTAGTGTCCCAGAGAGATAGGAGTAGCTTGAGCTAGGAGTAGATGTTAGAAACAGAGATGAGAGGTTCAAAAGTTAATAGGGAGGTGATGGACTGGTCACAGGAACATGGTGAGGGACCAGCAGTGGAAAGAAGGAGGAGTGAGGTGGTTTCCAGGAGTGAGCTGGGAAATCAGCCTGTGAACACAGCCAGCACACAGTCCACTGTTTGCCAGAGAAAGTCTCACTGGGAGCTCACTCGAAAGAAAGAGTGGATCTACATCAGTTTTGAGTTTCTCTTAAATTTTGAAAATAGGGCTGGGTGTGGTTGCTCATGCCTATAATCCCAGTATTTTGGGAGGCCAAGGCAGGTAAATCACCTGAGGTCAGGTGATCAGTTCAAGACCAGCCTGGCCAACATGGTGAAAACTCATCTCTCCTAAAAATACAAAAATTAGCCAGGCATGGTGGCATGCATCTATAATCCCAGGTACTTGGGAAGCTGAGGCAGGAGAATCGCTTGAACCCAGAAAGCGGAGGTTGCAGTGAGCCAAGATTGCGTCACTGCACTCCAGCCTGGGAAACAGAATGAGACTCCATCTCAAAAAAAAAAAAAGAGATTTTGAAGACAGATGGTAAAAAATCTGGGACTGAGATTTAAATACACTTACCTTAAGTTCTTCCATCCTTTCCTGGATGGTAGAGAGGTCAGATGAGTGGCTAGGGTCCTGCCCTTGTAGTATTTCTTCAGCTTCCACTATCCAGGCCTCCAAAGCTTCTAAACTCTTGGCAAAGGTTTCATAATCAAGAACTCCAGCCTTTTTTTTTTTCACAAAAGAAATTAAGAAATTGGTATTTTAGTTAAAAAAAAAATCAATATTTGAATAAAGTCTACTAAAAGGGCAAGTGAATGTTAAAATTATTTTTCATATTCTTGTATCAAATTGCCATTTTCAAGACATCATTCCTAAAAATAATGCCTGTAATCCCAGGCTTTAACAATTTAAATCTTCTTTATGTAATTTTTCTAAAAACTAGAATTATTTCTATGCACCATTAGTCAATAACAAGTAAAATTATCCTTTAAATATATGATCAAACAATGGATCTAAAAAAATCTTCTGATTCTTGTCAAAGTCTAAGTTATAAAAACATGAATATTCATATTAAAGTTGCTTAGTGCTTATTAGTCTAACAGACCACAGAGGTAGGCATTGGTTCAGGGGCTTGCATCTTAAATTGATTTTAAAATTACTTTGTAGAGAACAGTGTAAAACTTCCACCTTCATCACCCCATCAGAATAAGCTTGTTTACTTATTATTTTAGTCTTGAATGAGGCATTGCTGCAACGACAAGGAATTCTTTTCCTGTGTTTGCACCCAGATATTAGAGAACACCCAATTTATAGAAGATACTGAATAGGAGCTCTGTACCTGTAACGAGGTCTGTTGTTTGCAGAGAGCCTGCTCTAGGGCACACAAGTGTTGACTCAAAGAGAGTTGGTCCGATTGAATGGCTGATGCCGCTGAAGCATCCACTTGCTGCTTGAGTTGCTCTCCCAGCTCATGCAGAACGAAGAGGGAATCTTTAACTGTGCCTAGTCCTTTGAGGAGGTCCTATAAAAGGTGAAAATAAGCCCACTGTGAAGCACATTTACACTCCTTATCATAAACAGCAGTCGACAAAGGGCTACACATCTAGAAATACACAATTCCTGCTGATCAAATTATTATGCTACATAACGTTCACCTGCGGAAAAATGATCAAGTATTGAATCCAATTTTTAAAAAGGCTATATATGCATATTAATATTTCAAATATATATTATATACATATAACATATAGCTATATATATGATTAGTCTTCTGTTAGTAAAAGCTATGTAGGCTCATTATAGGACCTTGGGGAAATGCAGAAAAACATGCATAAACAAGTAAAAAAAAACACGATCCAAGAGTAAAGCCAATAACTGGAAATATTTTGGCACTTTTTTTCCTACCTCTTTATGTAATTTATATCAAATTGAAAACAAAATGTTTTATTTTTCCTTTTTCTATTATTATTATGCACACCAGGAATTTGTCAGTGGTATCTTCCATATGTGTGGTCACATTATTGCAACTACAACAACCTCCTATCTCAGTAGGATACAGAACCCAGTGATGATTTTGGGGAGCAGGGGGTAAGAGTAGTCTGTATTCCCATTCTTTTCCAAGGCATCTCTTAGCCTCCACTTTGTGGAACCCTCTTACAGGTTAAAAAACACAAGCCATTGGAAATTCCCTATTTCTGCTTTCTATCCTATCATTAAAAGATAACAGGTGACTGCTTCTTCTACCTGTTGCTGGTGCCCACCCAGTCCTGCTACACCTCGACAAAGACTTCTGTGAGAGAAAGGAAAACATAGGGCTCCTAAGCTTGATACAGATAACAGACAAGGTGTATTTCAGTTCGGGAGTATTGAAAATGACAACTCTTGTATATATAAATTATGTGGATGAAAAAAGCACCATATTATCTTTATTTTAAAATATCCATCTCAGTCAGGCACAGTGGCTCATGCCTGTAATCCCAGCACTTTGGGAGGTGGATCATGAGGTCAGGAGTTCGAGATCAGCCTGACCAATATGGTGAAATCCCATCTCTGCTAAAAATAAAAAATTAACCAGGCATGGTGGCAGGTGCCTCTAATCCCAGCTACCCAGGAGGCTGAGGCCTGAGAATCACTTGAATGCAGGAGGTGGGGGTTGCAGTGAGCCAAGATCACCCCATTGCACTCCAGCCTGGGCAACAGGGCCAGACTCTTGTCTCAACAACAACAACAACAAAAAGCAACAAAAAATCCATCTCTAGCTTTAAAGTGATTGTTCAGGTTGAAGGTATTAGAATAGATCAAACTTTTATTTACAAAGTTTTTGTAAGCTTGCCTAATTCTAATCAACTGATTTGGAAAAGTTTATAAAAAGATCCTTATAACAAGCTCATAAAAATAAAGACAAATAAGGACAAATAGTAAGAGCCATCTAATGGTTGAAACAAGAGAAGAGCTGTTTCTTAAACCCTTGAGTAGGTTATTGGCAGCTATAGTGAAAAACAGAATTATTAAAAAGGTATAAAAAGAAGTATACCAGTAAATCAGCAGAGAAAGACTTCTTTCTTCCATTAATATCTTAGATAAAACTATCGTGCAGATGCTTACATAGGAGATAATGAATGTAAATGGACAACACATAGAACATTATTCCCCATATGATTATGTCTTAAATTGACCATCCCCTAGAACTTTCACAATGCCTAAATTCCACTAGGAGAAATGGGAAAACTACTCATTTTAAAAAATGAACAATGGGAAGAAACCTCTTAATCTGATGCATGTGCACCTGTGTTCTGAAAATCAGGCAGGCTCTTTGATGCCAAGGCAATTATTTTTGGATGACTGTCTCACATAGAGAGACATACCAAAGCTTACACAGACCAAAAGCTAAACTTTGGCAGTCTAAGAAGGGCACGTCGGGAAAACGAGATAGCTCCTGAACGTACGTTGCAATCTTGAATCCATGTAGCAACCTCATCATCGGCGATGTCCTTGTTCGTGGCTGCCTTCAAGAGCTCATTGGTTCTGTCCTCCTGCTGCTGAACCGTTGAAGAGCACTGTTTGGAGTAGTCCTTGTATCTTTGCCAAAGCTGAAGTAGGGCCTTGCTGGAGTATAGCTGCTCAGCAATCTCCTCCAGCAAGTTATTCCATCTGGAGATAATAACCAACACTCATAAGCAGATGACCACCTCTCACCAAATGTTGATATTTACTATTTTATTTTTCATGATCCTAGTTCATGTGAACATAGACGTATTCATTTCTAGTTATCATAATAAAAATGAATGTTTCATAGTCACAGTTTCAAGGTAGGTAATGAGGATGATGGCAATCTCTGGGTTTGCCATCAAAGGACAGGATGGAAAGCAGAAACAGGAATGATCACAAATAGTTCTATTATAATGACACATGCACATGTATGTTCATGGTAGCACTGTTTACTTGGAACCAACCCAAATGCCAGTCAATGGTAGACTGGTTAAAGAAAATGTGGCACATATACATCATGGAATACTATGCAGCCATAAAAAAGGATGAGTTCATGTCCTTTGCAGGGATGTGGATGAACCTGGAAACTCATAAATGGGAGTTGAACAATGAGAACACATGGACACAGGGAGGGGAACATCACACACTGGGGTCTGTTTTTGGGTGAGGGGGCTAAAGGAGTGATAGGAGGGGGTGGGGAGGTTGGGGAGGGATAACATTAGGAGAAATGCCTAATGTAGGTGAAGAGGGGATGGAGGCAGCAAACCACCATGGCATGTGTATACCTATGTAACAGTCCTGAAAGATCTGCACATGTACCCCAGAACTTAAAGTATATAAAAAATTGTATTTTGAAACTACTTACAAAAAAAAAAAAAAGAACAGCAGTTCTAATTCTTTCTAAATCTCTTGACTACATTTATTTATCCTTAAATTCATGTTGTGAACATAAACTTTAAAGGAATAGAACCTATGTAGCTCAAATTCAAAATGTCACTAAGTTTTATTTATATCACTATTAATAAGAAGGCTGTGATATAAATAGTTGGGTGAAGTTAACACACACCATACCTCATGGTGACTTCTTTCAGTGTATTGGTAAGAGTTTCCGTCACAGGTGGCTGACACTCTTTTAATAGTTGGTTGGTGATAGAGCCGAATTTCTGTAAGCTCGTCTCCTGTTTCTCTAGATCATCTTGAAGATTCTGCCCAAAAAGAGACCCACAAAAGACAAAGACATGAGAGATCTGATTGTAATAAGCAAGTTTAAAATGAATGTGTATATGATTTCCTAAATATGTACATATATATATATATATATATATATATATATATACACACACACACACACACACACAGACCAGGCATGACTTAGCACCAGTGCTTTACAGCTTTCTTTAAATCATCATTTATTCTCTTTTTTAGGATTTTGTTATTTTGGCTATCAGAAGAGGTTCTTAGCAATGAAGCCTTCTTCTACTGGCATTTGGATTCTGCTGGAAAAGCTCGCGTAGGGTGCCCTTGTCCATCATCTGGTAGGAAGCCACAGCAATGGCGTATGTAATGCGCTATCTGCCAAACTGTGGATCTCTTTGATACTCTGATATTCAAAGCCAAAGCCAGATCTATTTTATTACATACCTAGTATGTGATACTAGGTATGTAATAGCCTAGTATGTAATACTAGTATGTAATACCCTAGCATGTAACACCTAGTATGAAATAAAATAGAGTGCTTCTACCACAAACTCCCAATGATGAAGACTCTAACAAGGCACAGTTTTGCCAAGTTTTATCTCTGAGTGCTCTTCCTTGTCTAGAATTAGTTTTAATTAAAAACAAAAGATTTTTAATGGACAAATAATAATTGTATGTACTTGTAGGGTATGATGTAATGTTTTGATATATGTTTACATTGTGAAATGAATTAAGTTAATTAACATATCATTACCTCACATACTTATCCATTTTTGTCTAGCAAAGTTGAACTCATAGAAGTAGAGAGTAGAATGGTAGTTTTCAGAGCATGAGATAAGGGATTAGATGGGGAAAAGAAAGACGTTGATCAAAAGGTACACAGTTTCAGTTAGACAGGGGGGATAAGCTTTAGTGATCCACTGTGCAGAATGGAGACTATAATTAATAATAATGCATTGAATACATTGTATATGTCAAGACTGCTTAAAGTAAAGAATATCTATCAGACAGGTTTGGCATCTTCTATCAAGCCTATCTAAATAGTCTTCTACCAAGGACCAGTAAGGGAACTGAAAGAAAGTTGTTTCCTTGGAAATAGTGCTGAGGTAATAGACTCAGTTCTTCATAAAACTCCACAGATGAAGTAGGCTACAAAAATTGAGTACTATTTAACACCAATATCTGATACCTTCAAATGAAAATAATCAAGGAAAAGATTCTTAATCCTTTCAGGTCTTAAGACAGCTTTTGCAAGTATTAAATATAACACATGTTAAATTAAAAAGCACTTCTAATCTCCTCAAAGTTGTAAGGGGGGCTTTTAAATTTACTATCCTCAAAAGAAGTTTTAGTCATCCTTAGTATCTGTAACAATTCAAGAGTTAAGGAATTATATAGAGAAATTGTGTCCTTCCTCTTTCTCACCCCCCTGTAAAAAAGATATTTCCTTAAGAAAGTCAGCCAGGCACGTTGGCTCATGCCTGTGCTTTGAGAGGCCGAGGTGGGTGGATCATGAGGTCAGGAGTTCAAGACCCACGTGGCCAAGATGGTGAAACCCCATCTCTGCTAAAAATACAAAAATTAGCCGGGCATGGTGGCACACACCTGTAATCCCAGCTACTAGGGAGGCTGAGGCAGAGAATCATTTAAATACGAGAGGTAGAGGTTGCAGTGAGTCAAGATCTCGCCATTACACTCTAGCCTGGGTGACAGAGTGAGACTCTGTCTGAAAAATGAATGAATGAATAAATGAACGAATGAATGAAAGTCTGTGTCTGTGGTCAGCAACACAGAAGCTTTGATTGGCCGGCCAGGGAGGTGGACTAGATATTAGCAGGGCACATGCTGGTCTCTTGTTGGCCTCTCGTCCCTTAGGGGCCTGCCCTGCCCATCCCATAGTCTGTGTTCTTTAGCCAAGAAGAAAGAGCAGTGACAGGTGAGGGTGGCCCAGTGCACAGAGGAGTGGGGACAGCAGCAATTTGAGGGCCGTGACCTGAGACAGGAGAGGGTGCTATGGGATATCATTCTAGATGAACACAATGACAAACGACCCACAGGAAACCAAGCAGTAAGTGCTACAATGGAAGATTCTGTGGACACACTGGATAGGCCACTGATAGTATACTGAATGGAAGCAACTGAATGGTCTGAACATTTACCACTTTTTCCACTTTTCTCTTTGTTTTCATTTGAACATACCTTAGAACATGTTTGGAGATGCAGGACAAGAGGAAAACAAAAGGCAGTGACAATGAATCAAAGAGGTTGAGTTGGGTATAAAATCATTGCATAAAATACATTGTGATTATTTTTTACAACAAAATCTTGAAAACCATTCAGTTATATACCAGCTAATCCAGAATTTGGCACACACAGGCAAGTTTGCTAAAGTTACAATAATGCAGATAAAATTAATTTTAAAGATCTTAAAAAATAATTAAATGTAAACAACATATGGCAATGTTTCGGGATGCTGTTTCCATTCGCTCATTTTTCAGTTTTCTCAAATTACAAAGAAGATTAAGGATGTGTTAAATTATTTCCTCACCTGAAGATTGTCTACCTGAACTTGCACAGCTTCTAAGGAGCCAGTGAGCAGACGGAATCGGGAAAGAGAATATCTGGCCTCCATGAGGTAACTGTTTATTTCGTCAAAAGCTGCTTTGTGATTGCTCCATTGGTCAAGCACTGATTTCAACAGTATCTGTAATTGTCCAACCTTTTGGAAAGACAAACATTGCTTATAATTTCATAATATCTAGAATGATGGAATATATATTCAATTGATGGGAAAATATTACCATCTAAGAACTTCATCACGGTTTCAGGTACCATAAACAAACTAAAACTAAATAAAAAAGATTTAAAATGTAAAATATCAACTTCGAAATTTATGCCTTTCACTACTCAGTTCTAAGTGGAAACACTTAAAAGGGTAACTGATATATATATACATTTTTTTTAAGTCACAAGAGGTTGATACTTTTAATAAAACAGCTTAAGAATTGTATTAAATGAGTGTTTCATATGCATTAACTCATTTAATCCTCATAAGGAACTTATGAGATAGGTATAATCATTATCCCCATTTTATAGATGAGGAAACTGAGACACTAAGAGGTAATGAAAATTACCCAAGATTATACTGTTAGAACGTGAGAGATCTCAATTTGATTCCAGGTAATCAGGTCCTAGAAACTGAAATTTATCTATATCTATATCAACACCCATATCTATCTCACACGTGTGTGCATATGCGTGCATGCACGCGCACACACACACACACACACACTCTGAGATAATTATCTTAATACAAAACATCTAAGATAGAGATAAATAAATATGAGGAAAAACTATCAGAAAAGTGTTTAGTTTGGTCTGTATCACTTAGATACAGATATCCACTTTGCATATCTTTCCCCAGGCAGGAGACAGATGTTTGAGAATTATCTAACACCATGGGAATGGATGAGATTATTAAGAGAGTAATGTTTAAAATAAAAGCTTATTCTAGAAAACACCAGAAACTAGGCTTAAAAAAATAAAAAGAGGTTAATGAAGTGGGCTTAAAAGTACAAAGTGGCGAGGTGTGGTGGCTCATGTCTGTAATCCCAGCACTTTGGGAGGCTGAGGCAGGTGGATCACCTGAGGTCGGGAGTTCGACACCAGCCTGGCCAACATGGGGAAATCCTAACTCTACTAAAAATACAAAATTAGCTGGGCATGGTGGTGCATGCCTGTAGTCCCAGCTACTCAGGAGGCTGAGGCAGGAGAATCACTTGAATCCAGGAGGCAGAGGTTGTGGAGAGCCGAGATCATGCCATTGCACTCCAGCCTGAGCAACAAGAGTAAAACTCCAACTCAAAAAAAAAAAAAAAAAAAGGTACAAAGACATAATGTATAGATTCAATTTACTCCATTACTTTAGGAAAACCAAAACCCAGAGTTTGGACAGTGCTGGCAAACAGAGTCTTGGAGCTGGCTCTCCACGAGCAATATTACCATGTGATCTAAATTCGCCCAGGTTTGGCTCAGTTCTCCCAGTGTGCTCAAGACAACGCCGGAGACGTCTTCTTTCTTGTTCTGAATCAAAGCAAGTCCATTCTGCTCAATTTTCTCTACTTCTTTTTCTTTTGCTTTAATCAAATCTTCCAGATCCTGAAAGATTTAAAAAATAGTCACTTTAAATTGTTCTATTATGAAACTCTGGGGTGCACTGAAATTGAGCCATTACAGTTTCATGTCCTAAAAATCTTTTACTGATCCAAAAAGCTTATCTCTTATAGAAGAGGTACTCTACGGAAGTATTTCTTTCTATTCCCAAACACAAAAAAAAAAAAAAAAAAAAGTCATCTTTTTACACATAGCAAATTAGTCTAACTTTAAAAAGTACAATTTGATAATCTACCAGGTAAGGAAGTGGTACTATGTAATTTTCTCAAGAGGTTGTGAGGAAAGAAATATATGTCAGAAACTGTAATATTATTTATATTATTAAGTTCATATATGTTAGTATTCAAAAAGTTACACTGAAGAAATGTGACAGGATGGTAGTCTGGGCCCTAGTATTTGAGATTTAGTCACATTTCTACTACCATAAAGCTGTGTCACTTTGGGTAGGTGAGAAATTTCTCCTGGGTCTCAGTTTCTTCAGATAGGAAATCAGCAGACTGATTTCAAATGGGAAAAGTTCATCTCTGTGGCCTTCTCTCTCTAAAATACTCTGAATTCTATGTAATTCTGAAAGGTATGGGGCTTCTTTGATGAATCAAATCCTCATTTTCTTTGGGATATGCATTCATCATATCAGTATAAAATGTTCAAGAATGAAAAGCAAAATGAAAGAAATATCTGGAGCTCATACTGAACCTGTATCATAACCTATTTTAATGCCATCCAAAAATTTGAGAAGCCCAGTGTAGCAGCCTGAGACTGCTATCAACATCTTACAAATAAATAAACTGAAGATCAAGTCATCCAACCCGTCTTGGGTCAAATAGCTGGTAAGGGCCAGAGTGTGGATTAGAACCCAGTCTTTTGAGCCTATGGACTCCCAGCCTGATGCCGGAAGGGAGTCAGTTGAACCTCAAGCTGTGGAGGGAATTTAAATCCCATATTTGAGTGACATGACAAGCCAGGCATTAAGGCATGGTTACAGTCCCATATTCAGAACAATACTCTCAGAACTAAAAATAGATTTGCAGTTCTTGGAGATTAGAATGGAGTAAATTCCAAAATACTTTAACTCTGGCCAATATATCAATTGTATAAAAAGTATTTTCATCCTTCTCATGATCCAAACATGGGTATTAAGATTAGAATTCCGTAGTGCTGCTGATAAGGTGTTAATGAGGAGTCCAGTCTGTGCTATATTAATATCAAATGTCATGCCTCTTTTAAAATTATTTTGCCTCTTTTATTTCTGTTTTTATTGTGGTTCAACCTGCTAATCTGTCTCTACCTCATTTTGAAAATAGAAATAATGAGACATTTTCTGCTTACTCCAAAGGGATAAAATTAGATAGATAGATAGATAGATAGATAGATAGATAGATAGATATAAAATATATTTTAAGCTGTCAAAAACTAGCTAAATGTAAGATATTATTTTATTTGGCCATTTGGGAATGTGCCATGCTTCAGTACAAATTTATTTATTTTTCTCTATTGAATTCTCACGAAGCTATTTTTATCTTGGTGAATTAGTTAAACTCATGCATTTGGCAGCTTAAAGAGATCATTTTTGTTTCTGATATTCTTCTCTTATTTCCACTCTGTAATTTTGTCAATATTTTGACAGCTTTGATAATTACCAGAGAATAAATATAGTGATTACTGAGGTTATAGCTCCTTTGTGTTGTATAGAAAATATAATTAATTTACTATTTAGGATTTTCTTTCTATTTCTGTAAAGAGATTAAAAGACCAGAAACATTCTTTCCAATATGTTTTAAATATGATTCTAAAATTCAACCACTAGAAATTAAGTTTATCCTCATTTTTCTACGTGAGCTTTTTCTCAGTGAGCAATATTAAACGAATGTTCCATTGCTTACACACTACTTCAAACATGTCCTCCACATGTAGCTTGGCATAAGAGCAAAATCCAGGAGGGAAACAGGGCTGCAATATATGCTTTGTAAAAAAAAAAAAAAAAAGGTATGTTTTCCTTGCTTAATTAAAAGATGATTCTGTTTGTGATCAAAAAGGGGAAAGATCAAACCTACCATTTTTAAAAATAATAAAACATTCTTAACTTGAATTAATTCATAAATATCAGTTTTATGTAGGTTTAAATTAATAAATCACATCTGAAAGACTGGGAAAATACTCAAGATTTTAAGACAAAATAAAGCTGGAATCCTGTCACCAATTTAAGTATACTGGCTTGAATTTCACACTTTGGTCCAAAAAAGCAATTTATCAAAAATGAGAATTGTATCAAGACTTGTAGTATAGCCAAATAGACCCTGCCAGTTAGGCCATTGTGATTTACATGTGATGTCCCAAAATAATTATATGGGCTACTTTCATTTTGTCTTTTGTTTCAAAGAAATGGCTTTTCATTTGAAATCATGAATTGGCATCAATACAAAGTTCCTTAAACCACACTTTAAGCTTTCCCTCCTGATACTGTCTGACCTGACTCTCCGAAAGACTAAAGCTTAGGTCCTACAGGCAGCAAACTGTGGTCAAGCTGCTGCTGTATTTTCAGATGGTAAGGGATTTCCCTGTTAAATAGAAGACAAGAACGGGAAAAGAAACAAAATAGAAAATGGCAGAAAAAGCTATGTTAAACAGAAAATACTAAGAAAGAGAAAAAGATACTAAGAGAGAAAAAGCAAAGTATGGAAGAAAAGAAGCGGGGAAAAAAAAAAGAAAATGCAAATGATATTAATATAGTATTTTAGTCTTTCCACAGTAAAGGTTATCACAGCCATGCAACCAGAAGGCACTCACTTTGCTAACTGTAATACGCAGAATGACCTTTCAAAATCAATGGATATATTTCAACTTAGGAACTCAGCAAAAGGTATGACATTTTGTCCTCAAAAATAAAAAGCTGAAACTCTGGCTTACTTGTAGATTTTAGAATTTATGGCCTAAATTAGAAATTCTACTGGCCTCTGGAAAATTGGAAACACAATCAGACTAGCTGATGCTTCTTCATCTTCAATCTTCAAGCACCCATTTTCTGACGTGAGGTGTTTTCTTTTAAATTAAAAATTTTAAAAATTATTATTATTTTAAGGTATTTCTCTATATGATGTTTTTCTTTTAACAATTTTATGCAGTCTCAAAATTGTAATCCATTAGGTGGGGAGCCAGCACTGATCTTCCCTTTCAGAACCGAAAAGTTTTGATTAAGTGCTTAAATATATCCCTCTTTATATGTGTTCCAAACAGAAAATATGCTGATTGGAAGAGGGATCATTACCAAAGTCCTTTCTTTCTGAAACCCAGAATAGAAAAACAAGATTTGCAGAGAGAAGCTTTTCTGTAGAATTACTTCGCTGTTGAGTTTTCAATTGTTTTTAGGAAACACAGTAAGAGAACTGTCATCATCTGTAACATTGTAAGAATTCATGAATTATTTTCAAAAACCTTATTACAGCATTAACTGCAATAGCTCATTTTTCTTTTGGGTATACAAGAAGACCTATGGAAAGACTGTGTGTCCCTGAGTCACTGGAAAACATTTGGAATGTTACTGCTTCACCTGAACCTTCAATCCTTGTCCCTCACAGTAGAGCAAGCACACTCTGTGTACTTCCCCATGTGACAAAATAGGAAGTAAACGGATACTTCCTATTAATTAATAATAGGGTATTGATTAATAATAATTAATAGGAAGTCTGTTGTGAAGTGCTTGCTCAGAGGAGGTGAATGGGAATCCAACCAAGCCTCTAGTGCTAACTTCCATTTATAGGAAATATAGAGGAGAGATGAACAAATTAAACAACATTATAAGGACATTCATAAGTCAATCCTGACCATGACACCCATCAGCAGCTTCTGTGACAGGTTAACGGTCTTAACAAAATATTCAAAAGACTTCAGAGATCTAACAAGCAAATATATCATATGGATATTGTTTGCATCCTAATTTTGAATAAGTTAACTTAAAAAAGACATTTTAAAGACAATTGAGGAAATAGGATTATGGGTTGAACATAAAATAATTATTAAACTTTTGGTGGTGATAATACTATGGATGCATTAAGAAAATGTCTGTTTTTCAAAGATATATATTGTAGTATGTAAGAATAAAGCAACATGACGTCTGGTATTTGTATTTACTGTGAAATCTATTTTTAAAAAAAGGTTTTTTGAGGCCGGGCACGGTGGCTCAAGCCTGTAATCCCAGCACTTTGGGAGGCCGAGGCGGGTGGATCACGAGGTCAAGAGATCGAGACCATCCTGGTCAACATGGTGAAACCCCGTCTCTACTAAAAATACAAAACATTAGCTGGGCATGGTGGCGCATGCCTGTAATCCCAGCTACTCAGGAGGCTGAGACAGGAGAATTGCCTGAACCCAGGAGGCGGAGGTTGCGGTGAGCCGAGATCGCGCCATTGCACTCTAGCCTGGGTAACATGAGTGAAACTCCGTCTCAAAAAAAAAAAAAAAAAAAGGTTTTTTGTTTTTTGCTTTTCTTTTTTGAAACAGGGTCTCGCTTTGTCACCCAGGCTGGAGTACAATGGTCCAAACACAGCTCACTGCAGCCTTGATCTCCTGAACTTAAGCAATCCTCCCTTCTCAGTCCCCTGAGTAGCTGGGATTACAGGTGCAGTACTACCACATCTGACTGATTTTTTACAGTTTTTTGGAAAGGCAGGGTTTCACCATGTTGCCCAGGCTGCAAATCTTGATAATTATTAAATCTGAGGTTTGGTATATAGCATTTACAGCATTTCTCTCTACTTATGATTATGTTTGAAAATTTTCATAATTTCAAGTTTTTAAAAACAAGTGACGAAATCTAATGAAAAAAAAAACTCTATAAACTCACAGAATCAGAAAAATTTGTTACTAAGTGCAACTTTAAAAGAAATATTTAACTTGCAACTCTCAAGGCCTACAAACACATTAGCATATGGCATGAAATTGTGAGCTGGTGTGTGTTAGCCACTTGGACAAGTTACCTGACAGTCTTTCAGTGCATTTTGAACAGAAGCCTGATCTCCAATTCGATGCTGTTGTTTTAGTCTTTTTTCCTGGGTTTCAAACCATGTTTTCAGACATTGTACATTACTTTCATATTCTGACCAAGATTCCAATAAGCCTTCCAACAGCTGGATCTGAATAAACACAATAAAATGAAATTTGCAACTTTATTTTAATAAAATCAAATCATTGGCATGTTAATTACTCTAGCCTGTAATTCCTTCAAATTAAGAATTCTTAAATACAGTTCATTGTATATATGATTTAAAACAGGGGTGTCTAATTTTTTGGCTTCCCTGGGCCACACTGGAAGAAGAATTGTCTTGAGCCACACATGAAATAAATTAACACTAACAATAGTTGATGATCTAAAAAAATTGTAAAATAAATCTCATAATGTTTTAAGAAAGTTTACAAATTTGTGTTGGGCCACATTCAAAGCTGTCCTGGGCTGCATGCAGTCCACAGGCTGGACAAGCTTGATCTAAAAAATGAATTTAATAAAGTATGAATCACTGACTATTACTTATTGGGAAGCAAGTAAGGACGAAAGTCAACTTGAAGCAAAGGCAAAAGAAATTAAGAGACATCTTTAAGAAAACTGAAACACCACGAAATACACAAAGAGAAGAAGTGTATAAGAGAAAATCATCAACAGGCTAAAGAAAGATTAGGGTGATTAACTCTCAGGGATACAGCTATACTACTCATGAACCCAGTCTTCCTTACAGAGTGTGTCTGTTCTTGGAATTTTCATGTAAATCTGGACAGCAGCAAGCCACTGGCTTACCTTCTCAGTTACTAGACCTTGCAGAATTTGCCAACTTTTATTCATTGCTCCAAGTTGCTCAGCAAAATCAGTCTTATCACTACGTTTACTTTCCACATCCTGACTGCTGATTTGTAGCACAGACTGGTTCACAAAATCCACTGTCAACTGTTTACAGTTAATGTCTATCTTAAAACCCTAAAAAAAGAAGAGAAAATAAGATTATACGATAAAGGTCTCATTACTTTTCCAGGAATTGGAAAACTTTAAGCAACCTCAATATTAATGTTATTACTTCCATAACTCAGTTGAAATGGCACAATTTGTCTGTATTCACACAACCCCATATTTTCAGAAGCTGAATATATATTTGCATATGTTTATATGAACATAAACCTAGATATGTGTATGTGTGTATATATACACATATTTATGTAGAAGATTTAGAACTAGATAAATTACATAACCTCACTATAAAATATTTGTAAATTTATTTTTATAATTTCTGTAATTCTTTAAGAACAATATAAAATTATTCAAAATCATTCCTAGTACTAGATATTTCTTCTTATTTCTATAACTGAGAATGCATTTTTCTTGCTCTTGAATACCTATCTGGTCACTGTGAAGGAAACATACATTCTAAGACTTGATTACCATACAGTAATTTGAATTTTTTAGTTCTTTCAAACAAAATGGTCTGAAAATACCAAAAGTTAAAAAGAAAAAAATTTAATTACCTTATATTTCTGAAGATATTCATGAATTGCCTTGTAACCTATGGAATTTTTAATGTTATCTTCATCCTTCTGAATAACATTTTCCATTAGAGAAATCCAACTCATGACTTCAGAAATGGCATGGCGGGAAGGCAGTTTATCCATCTGGAGCTGTCCAAGTCAGGGATAGAACAAGTCCCAAGTATTAAAATGGAAATCCCAACTTCTGTTAACTTTGAAACTCTACAATTCTTAAAAATGTACCAAGAGAGATAATACTCCTAATGACATTTGGAGCTCTTACCCCTATTGAAAGCTTCAAATTAAACATCAGGCAAGTGATGAACAATAATAGTCATTTGATGTTCACTTGACATTCAATACTGTAAACATTGTATAAACATTAACTAATTAATCAAAACACCAGCAAGAAGAGAATATTATTCTTATTTTATAACTAGTTTTATGAGTTTAAAAAAAATTAACCACAAAACATTCAACAGATGTATTATATTAATTATCCTGTAAAATCTCTGCATATTATGACTCAGGAATGTTAAAAGAAGAGAAAATACCACACTACAAGCTATCATTTTCTAGATTTTTGGCACTCTAATATTTATTCCTAAGAGCATAGCCAGTTTCCTCAGTCCTTAGCTGAAATTACAGTATTTAGAACTCAAAATCTTACTTAACGTATCACACATTTATGCATATGCTTATAATGATTTGGAGGAACAAAAACAATCATTTAAAATCTCTGTAGATCAACTTCTGTGCGGTGCTGAAAGATATAGCAATGAGCGTGGGATGGTTCCTGCCTTCTGGGGATGCACAGCTGCTTCTTAGGAGAGATTAGGCATGTACACCAAACACAGCTATCCTGCTTGATACACGGTGATGAGTGTCAAAGATAGATAAAGATAAAATTTTCTGGGATTTCAGGGGAGGTAAGTGTATTTTCAGATAAGAGGAGTATTCACATCTACTGAATACCAGTTGCTCTCCTATACAGAAGATTTTTTTACATATATTATAAATCTTCATAACCACGCACTTTATGAGAAAAGTATATGTAACGGTCCACGTGCTATCCAGGAGAAAACAGAGTTTAAACAAAGCCAGACAAACATTCCAATACACACACCCACATCTACATACACACATTAAAGAAATCCTTGGAGGAAATGCCATTGGAGTGGGGCTTTGTGGTGTGGCTCACTTTTCACATTAATGCAATAGAAGAGAGAAGAGGCCAGGTGTCTGGGACAAAGTTGATTTAAATTTGTGAGCAAAAGCAAATTAATGTACTTTTCCATGTCATATAGCTTAAGTCAATTACTATCCACTAAACCAATCCTTCCTTCTGTACCTGGTGGAGCTTCTCCTGGACGGCTGGAATATTGGTTAGCAGGTCAGTCCACTGGCTATCAATGTGTGACAGCTCAGAGCGTAGCGTGGCTGTGTCCACCTTCTTTAGTCGAAGAAGCTGATTTCCAGTACTCAGTACAGATGATTTCAGGGAAGATTTGGCATCTACTTCTTTAGAAAACTCCTAAAATAAGTAGCAATGTTCACATTAGTATTAAATAGCTAGACCATTCATTAAAAGGAAAGTGACAAATTTAGTGCATGTAACAATTTCCTTACATCCTGGAGGGGCATTATGCTGAGCACTCTCAAAGAAAATGAAAGCGGCATATCCTTGCCCTCGAATGAAAGCAAACTACAAAGCCCCTATCTAAAAACTACTTTAAAGAGGCTATGTTGAGTCGTTGAGCCCTATTATTTTGCATAATTATGGACCACACATAGTCAACATTAAGATATTCTCTATAGCCTAGTTTATTAAGTATATCCACTGATAGCTGACTTCCTTTCTACTAATGTATGGATCAGGCCTAACTTACAGGCCTGAATCAAATGCCTTAGATTCATAGACTTACCAGGAAAGCATTTAGATGATCACGGACCATTTCCAGCTCTTGTGGAACTGTCACAGATTGCTGAGTCCAAAATTCTAGCCTGTCTTTTGCAGATTGTAACCAGTGAATTAGATCTGCAGATTCACTTTGATATCTGTAAGCATATTAAGGAGTCTATTAAGTAAACATTTAATCCCTGTCTTCTGCTTACTCATGTTATTCACCAATGCCAACAGTTTTAAAACAAGAGGTCTGAAGATTTACACGAAAAATGCATGAGGTTGGCACTCTGAACTTTTCTTAATGTTGATACCTTTATCAAGCCTGTCTCTCTGAATTTCTGCTTGCCTGTCTTTGAGCTGGGTATAAAAATATCTTTCTCCTAGTCCTTCACATTGATGCTACTTAAAAGATATTAGATGATAGCTATAAAAGTCCTTTGAAATAAAGGTGGCTTAGACACAGACTGTCATTATGTAAAAAATCATCCCTCCATGCCCCCTGAATGGCTCCCATTGCCTTTGAGAAGCCTCCACTTCTCAATCCATCTGTTTATCTCCCTTTCAGGCTTTATTGTGAGCTCTCAGACACAGTCATTAGGCAAGGGATGGTGAAACTCAAAGGTAATGTGCCTTATGTACCTGCCTCCCTGCTCACTTTTAATTATATGTTTATATGATTATACAAGAATCCAAGGTGGGGACTTTCTGCTTATCTTTATTTTCCAAACTCTACAATAAGTTCCTAGAGGAGTCATATCATTTTCAAGTGAATATGTGCTTGCCTTATTTATTTACTTATTTTTGAGACAGGGTCTTGTTCTATCCACTAGGCTGGAATACAATAGCATGATCATGGCTCACTGCAGCCTTGACCTCCCAGGCTGAAGCAATCCTCCTGCTTCAGCCTCTTCAATAGCAGAGACTACAGGTATGTGCCACCATACCTAGTACTTTTAAAAAATTTTTTTATAGAGATTGGGGTCTTACTAAGTTGCCCAGGGTGAACTCCTAGCCTCAAGCAATCCTTCCTCCTGCATTAGCCTCCCCAATGATGAGATTACATTTTGAGCCATCATCCCCCACCCTCACTAACCTTAATGCAATGCAGCACTTATCTAAAAATATACAAAACAGTCACGTGTTACCTGGTCCAGTGTTTCAATATTGTTTCCAATCTGTGAAGTTCCTTAGACACTTTGTTGGTGTTACTTAGCCAGTGCTCTCCAAGTTGATTTAGTTGGCTTTCTAGATCTGAGCAGCTGATGGATATCAGAAGTCGTTTCCCGTCATCTAATACTTGATATAATTTGGGCTGGTATTCATTAAGGCTAGATTTTAAATGCTAAAATGATTGAAATTATGGAGTTAAAAGTTTGGATATGCAATTTTTGTCTTTAAGAATTATAATTTCTCTGGTACCTACAATGTTCTCATTATCTATTATTCAAACTTAAACTATACTCACTCAAGTAATATTGAAAAGTTTAAGATGTTTCATCTACATTTAAGTATAGATGGTCTCCTTTTGTTATATTTTTTTTTCATAGTGATGTTAGGTGGATTTAAAACTGCCAAATTGTCATTATTTCAAGAATAGTGTGACATCAACATAAACTACAGAAAACGCTTGGTGGAGGCTGAATTTTCAAAAAGAGCTCTCATAAAAAAAAAAAAGAAAAAAGAAAGGCTTTTAATAATGTTCTACTATAACAGAAACATTCTCTGCTTTCAATGTCAATAACTTGAAAGAAAAGTAAGAGTACTGATAACATAACCAATCGCAAGTTTGTTTACATTCTGTTAAAACTATTAGTAAGTTTCTAAAGGCAATGTGGTAGTTTGTAACACCAACCTGGTAGAGTGTTATACGGTCAATAAGCCTGTCCTCATTCTCTTCCACCAGACCCACGCTTGGGATGCTGCTTTCCACCACCTCCAGCTGTCTGCTGAGCTCCTGCTGGTCCTCATCCAGATGGGACCACGTCTAGAAACACAACATTAGTCTGTGAGCTAAAAAAAAAAAACCCTCATTAGGGAAAGACATTCTTCCTTGTGTGCAAAATCTGTGCTTGACAGATTCTCCTTTAAGTTATGTCCAAGATGTTTGTGTTGGGGCTTGCCCTGGGAAGCAAAAGATGGCTTTGAAGCAAGTAATCAGATGGTGACCCTTTAAAGCATTGTGAATGGGCTCTGGCATCTGCCACTAACCTTTTTATGACTCTAAGTTACTAAACTCTGTGCCTCTTTTCCATATATTAAAATGGGGACAATAATAGCTATCTTCTTCATTATGAGGATTAAATGGAATAATGTATGCAGTGTACCTGGTATCTGGTATGCACTTTTTTTGTTTTTAAAGATATGCTCTCACTCTGTTGCCCAGGCTGGAATACAGTGGCACAATTATGGATGATGGCAGACTCGAACTCCTGGGCTCAAGGGATCCTCCTGCCTCATCCTCCCAAGTAGCTAGGACCATAGGTTCATGCCACCACATCAGGCTAATTAAAAAAAAAAAAATTTTGCAGCAAACAACATTGCCATGTACGTACCTATGCAACAATCCTGCATGATCTGTACATGTACCCCAGAACCTAAAGTACAATTTTAAAATAAAAATAAATAAAAAATTTTGTAGGGACAGGGGTCTCACTGTGTTGTCCAGACTGGTCTCTAACTCTTGGTATCAAGAGATCCTCCTGCTTCAGCCTCCCAAAGTGCTAGGATTACAGGCATGAGCCACCACATCTAGCCCAGGTATGCATGGTTTTATTCTTTACCACAGTAAGGATTTACACAAGTAAACAAAACACATTACATTTGCAAAAGAAACAGATATTTATAAATATGAATATATAGTCTACATATTCCATGAAAGAAAAATACCAAATCACTTATTCCTAAGTTCAGACTTTTATTTTATTTAAAACTGGAAAAACTTTTTTAAAAAATCAGTTGAAGTCTTTTCCAATAATTTACACCATGGGTCAGCCGTTTCTTAGTGTGAGTATGCTCAATTTACTGTGCAGTTGAAGTGGCAACAAGGCACAGCAATAGAAACCCATGCTTTTTAAATACACTTACCAAATACCTATTGCCAGGTACTTTCAATGTCTAGGGATCTAGGAGTAAATAAAACAAACACCCAGGAAATAATAAACAACAAACCAAAAACAAGCAATAAGCTTTATGGTATAATAGAGTTCTTCCACTGTGGAAGAATGAAACAGGACTGGGTTGGGGTGGGCGGGAGTGTCCGGGTGTGTGCCTGGTGGAGCTGCAATTTTTTTTTTTTTTTTTTGAGAGACAGAGTTTCCCTCTTGTTGCCCAGGCTAGAGTGCAATGGTGCGATCTTGGCTCACCGCAACTTCCACCTCCCGGGTTCAAGCAATTCTCCTGCCTCAGCCTCCAGAGTAGCTGGGATCCCACACCCAGCTAATTTTGTATTTTATTACAGATGGGGTTTCTACCTGTTGGTAAGGCTGGTCTCAAACTCCTGACCTCAAGTGATCCACCCACCTTGGCCTCCCAAAGTGCTGGGATTTACAGGCGTGAGCCACTGTGCTGGGCCAAGGGGCTGCAATTTAAATGGTGTCATCAGGTAAGTTTCAAAGAGAAACACACATTTCAGGTAGTGAAGTCAGACAGATGAAGATATGATTGCTGACTCTGTCACCAATTAACCATGTGCCTTGGCAAGCCATTGCTCCCAGACTTATTCCTGAAACAGGGATTCAAAGTTCCATCTCAAAGGTTATGATAAAGATGAGATGGATTCATGTAAATGTAAAAAGCATAGCCAGAGGCCTGACATGTAAATAAAGCATAACTATTATTACAGATATTTCGAATATTAAAGGTAGATGTCTCTCCAAAATATAAGGAATTCCACAACAGGGAATTCCACATCTGGGACTTGGGTGTTAGCTAGCTATGAAAATGTTGACTCAGGGAAAATCCCATTTAGAAAAAAATGCAAATATGACTTGCAGGCCATCCAGGTAAGATCAGTAATATTGAGGGAGCAGGTGGGGAAGACAAAAAAAGGAAAGAGATTATAATCTCTAAAACTTCCAAGGAAGAGGAAGAATGAGAAAGCAGGAACAGTTTAGGGTAATTGATACAGTTAAGAAAAGGAGGGGACTATTCCATCAGGAATGCCCTACATTCTCATTTCAATAGGGTTCTACAGCTGGCCAGTAGCCACCACTGAGCACCTATTCTGTTCCAAGAGCAACCACATCTGGGACAGAGAAAAAGAATCCCACATTTTTCTTCCTTTTTTTTGAGACAGAGTTTCACTCTTGTTGCCCAGGCCGGAGTGCAATGGCGCAACCTCAGCTCACTGCAACCTCCACCTCCTGGCTCAAGCGATTCCCCTGCCTCGGTCTCCCATGTAGCTGGGATTACAGGCACCCACCACCACACCCAGCTAATATTTTGTATTTTTAGTAGAGACAGTGTTTCACCATACTGGTTGGTTTCACCAAGTTGGCCAGGCTGGTCTCAAACTCCAGACCTCAGTTGATCCAACCGCCTCAGCCTCTCAAAGTGCTGGGATTACAGGTGTGAGTCACTGCACCTGGTTTATTTCTACATTTTTCATACTCTTAGTTAAGCTGTCAGTCTGAATATCAAAACCCCAAATATCTTCAAGCAGAGTCTGAAGTCAGTGTATATCTATCTCACTTCTAATATGGCACAGCAGATAGTCAAATGTAAACAGGAAACACGGGGAACAAGCAACACAGGAGCCGTAGGAAAAGTGCAGTCCTGCGCCCGAGGGCACAGCTAGTTCTGAAGTTACGTGAGGCAAACTGCATGGATCGATACATCTTGCATTGAAGGTCCATGTTGCAGGAGGAAGTGTGCAGCATAGAAGATATGACATCAATGGTCTCACCTCTAGAATGTACTCCAGCTCCACACCCCTCTTGTGAGCCCGTTTCAGTACAGCAGAAGCCTGAGCCATCAGCTCTGTATGGAATTGGGTTTCCTTTTGGACTGCAAAGCTGATTATCTTTCTGAAGAGTGTTTCAGTCAAGATCATATGAGATTCCAGGCCCTGAAAGTATTCCTGCAATTTTTCAGGGAGAAAGAAGTCAGAAACTCATTCACATACTATGTTAGAATCAAAACTGGTTTAGAGCCCTGGGTGCGGTGGCTCACGCCTATAATCCCACACTTGGCGAGGCTGAAGTGAGCAGATCATCTGAGGCCAAGAGCTTGAGACCAGCCTGGCCAACATGGTGGAATCTATCTCTACTAAAAATATAAAAATTTGCTGGGCATGGTGGTGGGCACCTGTAATCCCAGCTACTCAGGAGACTGAGGCACAAGAATCGCTTGAATCTGGGAGGCAGAGGTTGCAGTGAGCTGAGATCATGCCACTGCACTCCAGCCTGGGTGACAGAGCAAGACTCTGTCTCAAAAACAAATCAAAACAAAACATTGCTTTAAACATGAAAGCTGACGGAACTCAATTAATGTATGAGCAATACCCTCTCACTCCCACTGGCCTCCCCTGGTCCAGGCACCTGTCACTGTCTACAGAGAAGGGAGCTCTAGTATCCTAATTTGCCTCCCCACTCAAGTGCATTCTATACCCAGCTATGCTGCACACACAGTGCCCCCCAAACAAAGATCTTCACGTGTGCCAGCTACAGAGAAAACTCCTCTGCCCTCATAATACCTCATCCATGTGCAATCTCCCTTCCTTACTCTCCTGGCACGGCCTCTACCTCCATCTACCTCTATGTGTCTTGGACACACTAGCTCCCATTCACCTCCTTTGGCCTCTGCTTCTACTCTGTTCTCAAGATTTTCTCACTTGACACTTTCGGCGACTTTCCTTCATCCATGGCTGGCCTTGAGCTCTACTTTCTGAGCTTCTAGAATGTTTGTTGTGATCATTCCATGTTGTCAACCACAGCTTTATAGGCACTGATTGATATTAAAGATTTGTTTGTTTTCCTTGTATTATACCTACACATAACAGAACTGTAAGCCTTGTGCCATCCTACAAATGTTTTTGAAATGTTACTCTTTTATGTATGATAGACCCTGGAGGAAGGAGATGGAGCTTATCCCATTTCTGGTTCCCAGTATCACGACAGAATGGAAGAACTGGGAACTGACAGTAACAGTTAACATTAATTGCATGCTTTCTGTTTACTAGGCACTCCATAAATACTCTATCTGACTAATCTCATTCTCATAACAACTCTCTACCTGTATGAGATAGGGAATTTCGTTTCCAGTTTTACAGAGGAGAACACTGAGAACCCCCACTCTATGCATGTTGGCCAGCATCACATAGCTAGTCATGGCAGAGCTTGGGTTTGAACCTGGGCAGTGTGGCTTTATCTGTACTTCTCATCAACACTGCAGAACTCTCTCTCAGAAAATGGGCTGGTAAGTAGAAGCTAGAGTTATTATTTTTAACCAACAATGATCAAGTCACAGAGTCCTAAAGTTGGAAGAGACTTTGAAGTTCATCTAGCTCAGCATGCAATGAAAGCTGAGATTCCTTTTACAAGCCCATCTCCCCTGAAAGCCTTGGCTGGACTTCTCATAGCCAGAAGGGATGTCTGTTTAATGGCAGCTTACTTCTTTTCGAGTTCTTTTTCTATTGAGGTTTATTTCCCTGTTATTTATACTCATTGATCCTAGTTTTCCCTCTGGAATAACTCAGAATAATCTTTTATTGCCATGGTCAACAATTTGAGAAACACCAGCTGTGAACTTTAAAGCAACGGTTTCAAAGCCAAATGATAAGGCTTTAATAAATCATAAATCTTTGGACAAAAACGTCTGGGAAAAAATAGGAAGAACAATTCGAAAAAGGGAAAAAAGAATCCACCTTTAAAGCCACCAGAGAGCTACGCAATGGTCGAAGATTTAAACTTCTATAACCCAGTGGGATTTTTTTAGTTTCCCTACAGGAAATTCCCATAGCCTAAAAGGCTATGTGTGTGTGTGTGTGTGTGTGTGTGTGTGTGTGTGTGTGTGTGTGTGTGTGTGTGTGTGTGTGTGAGAGAGAGAGAGAGAGAGAGAGAGAGAGAGAGAAATAGGCATTCTTTTACTATGGAGTAGTATCCAACCTGAACTTGGCTGTGGCATACAGTGATGGAGTGATTTCAGGCCTCCCAACTTTTATTACATAGTAAATGGCCTTGTTGTTCCCAGGGAGAAAGTTTGAGGTCTACAGCAACTAGAGGAACATATGTGAAGGGTCAGAGGATCTAAACGATGCATGTAAAAGACACCAGCCCAACCCTGGAGCTGAACAGACAGCTCTGCATTTCTAGAGGAGAGCAAGGAGTCCTTGTCCAGGACAAGGGAGGGCAGAGAGAACATCTAGGACCAGGTGGACAAACGGGCAAAAAGGAAACCCAGGGAAAGATGGAGTTAAGAATGAAGGTGGGCTCCTTTGAAGAGAGGCTCTGAGTTTTCCTTTGACTTCAGCTCATCTACGGATAAAGCCTGGCTAACAATACTAGTGAGAGACTGATAAGTAAAATTACAGTAAGTTATTTTTCTTTTTTTATTTACAAAATTATAGAAACATAACCTCTATAATTTCTCCATGGTACTGAAAGCCAGTGGGTTTGAATATACATTTTTTGACCATTTTAAAGAATAACTTATACGAGTAAGAACTCAAAAAAGACTGGGAATATTAGGTTTTACTAAATATGTATCAGGGTTTGAGAGCATGCTTTCCAACTACATTTTTTTTCTCTGTCTCTCTTTTTTGTTTTGTACCTTATGTTTGTCAAGTAGTTGTTGGATTTCCTCTTTGGAAGACACGATGATTTTCTGGTCTCCTGCCATCTTCTCCTGACCAGTTTCCAGCAGGTCAGCCAGATCTTGGAGGGCCCTCTCATACTGACTCTTGAGTGTAAGGTTCTGGTTCAGACCACTCCGCCGGGAGCCAATGGTCATCATCAGTTCATCATACATGTCCTAAGAAGCAGAGACCACAAGACTCACTCTCAATTCAAATTCTAGCAACTCTTGAAAAGAATATCAACATACTACTGTAAGGCCCAAGAGCCAACCAAGAAAATGCCTTCAGGGATGCACCTTATGGAGATGTTCTGCCTGCAGGCTGTCTGCTTGGCTTTCCTATGAGCCTTACTTTGAAAACATGTCTCACAAAAAAATAACCTCTGGACCCTTATTCTCTTGCCTAGGATATATTTGTTCACAGCGTCTTGATACCTGGTGGTTCCAGTTCTTTCATTAATCTTATTTGGTATGCTGATCTTTTTGCTTTAAATTTCATTTTATTTTTATCTGACAATGAAGCACAATGGAGAAACTGAAAAAAACTGAATTCATAAAAATTTACTTATGAAGTCACTGGGTGAAAGGATAAAATAAATATTCAATAACTAATGTGGAAACAATTCAACTCTGAAGAAAAGTAGAGTCTTGTCTCATGTCACATACTGAAATGCCATTTAGGTTGATCACAAAATAAAAATTTACTAAGTTAAAATATGAAAGGAAATAAACACGTCTATAAAAAATAAGCTTAATATTTTAAGATTTAAAAGGACACGCAAAAGTGTTTCCTAAAAATGGCATATGAGGTAGACTGGACAACTGTTTTCTCCGGATTTCAATGGTTTGTGATGAGATGAGGGGTAAAACTGTTGAAAAACTGTCCGTGTGGCTGAGGGACATGTCATAGAAAACGTAATTCCCATTTTTCTAGAGTTCTCAACATTCATATAATTTTAGAGCAACTGAATATAGTATCCTTAACATTTTCCTGCTAAATAACAATCACATTTGGGACTATCCCTCAAAGAAAGAGCTAGAGACATAGGGGAGTTCAATGTGAGCAGGAAGAGTTTCAAACTGAAGAAGGCAATATTTTCGCCAAATGTGGTGGAGTAAATAACTATTTAAACTGGAAAGGCATTTTAGGAGATGATGACACACCAAACACAAAATTTATTTGAGGCATATGGACCTGATTAATGTATCACATTAAGGTTTAGCAGGCCAAAATGCTTCAATCTGGAAAAGTTCAGTTTTAATGCCTATTTACAGCTATGACATTTGACTCTTACACCTGATGCTTAAGTGCTGTCGGAAAACTGTCTAAAAAAGTACAAAGTGGAGGTGGTGGGCTTATGACATCATGAAATGTTAGACAAAGGAGAGATATAGTTAAAATAAAAATGTTCTTCTCTTTTTAAGGTCTATTTTATTTTCTCAAAGAAAGAACTCACATCCTTGTACTGGACTGAGGTTACTAATTCTCAGCCGTTCTGCATACAGAGAAAACCTAACACGTGTGTCTGTGTGACCGTACACAATTGTACACAATTTCTTTTTGATCGAAAATAACTGCATTGCCTAGCTGATGCTAAATTTTGCTGGGCTAATATCTGAGTATCTTCTTCCTACCCCAATATCAGATTCTTTCCTAAATGTCAGATCTAAGAAAGGAGATTAACCCAAAGTATTATTCTCTATTCCTGAAGGATGATAGGAAGTCTGTTTAGATTTCAACTACCTTCTAGTTTAATTTTTGTTGTTGTTCTAGGACTGAAGTAATGTATCTATTCCATTCAAACGTGTATGGAGGATAAACTATAGTTTTTGCCTTAGAAAAAAATACTTTCTAAAAAGTATTACCTTGATTATTTGCTTTTAAAAATAATATTTGAAGAGGTAATGCAATACCAGGGTAGATATCTCTTTTTAAAGTTTTTCTAGATAGGATTGATAATCATTATATTTTCTACAGTAGAAAATAATATGCTACAACTAAACTATACTGCAATGCTTAACCATGAGAATAAAGTAACTGTCTGAAAAAAATATGAATCTTGGAAGCATGAAAACAACTCATTTCATTGTATTAAATATGTTAAGCCTCAGAAAATTTTCTAAGAGTTACTGGGCGGAAAGGTTAGGAACTAAATGGCATGAGTTGTATTAGGAAAGCCAAGAAAAATAGAGAAAGTGATTTTTTTCTCGGCTTCAAGTTTGATGTACCCCTGCAGGTGAATACTACTGGCTGAAGTCTGCACCTGGAGCTTGGAGAGTTCTTGCATGGACGGCTGCTCGATCTGCAACTTGTCACCACGCCTCTTTAATTCAATGATTCCTGCATCCAATTCTTTCAGTCCATCTTCGGCCTGTTGTATTGCCTATGTAAGATTCAAGATATTTTATTAAAACTCATATGAACAATTTCCCCACAGAAGACTGTGGTTATCGTGTCTCATTCTGTGTTCCTCCTCTCCACATAAAACATCCTCAATATATACAAGAGGAATCATTTCAATAAAACAAACAAACCAAAAGCCATGGTTAGAGACTATATAGAAAAGAGAGAAAGGCCCCTTATTATAGTATAGAGCAGTTACCTTACAGATAATGGGGCAGGAGAAACTTAGGGTAGAGGGCTGGGAAATGGATGTCTTGCTTAAACAAAAAAAAGGGGGTTTTTGAAAAGCAACACCTAGAAAGAAAGAGCATGATTTAGGATGTATTTTAAAAAAAAACTATTTGCCTGAGATTTTCTAGGGGACCATATTCTGCTGTCCTTGAAACATAGTTGTGAGCATCTTTGAAGAGAGATTTAGTGAGGCAACAAAAAATATGCTACAGCATGGTCAAGGAATCTGTGCTCCTTCTTGTGAAGTGGAAAATCAATCAGTCAACAAGTATTCAAGTGGTTGCTATTGCTAAGCCTTGTCTTCCCAGTGTGAGGTCTGTAGCAGCAGAACGAGATCTCATCCTGTCCTTCAAGGAGCTGATGGTCTGGTTAGGAAGCCAAAGTAAACAGAAAAATAAAGCAAAGCTGAATATAAGTAAGTACTAAACTCGATAATGCAACTCATCCCCATTACTGGAGATCAGAGAAGGGAGATACCAGACCTCGAATCCTGGAGCAGTCTAAGCAGGCATTTAGAAAAACGGCAACAGAGGTTGTCCCTGAAGGATGACAAAAACAAGACTCCAGATGGCAGATGAAACACATGTGTCCAATGTTCTCTTTCTTGAAAACCCCCTACAGCCAGAATGAATATTCTGTTTGCTTGCTTTTCTGGCATATTTTCCCCCCATAAATCTAAAAGGACAAGGAAACAGAAAAGAAAACAATGCCAACAAAACGTTGGGAGCTAGAATTCAAAAGGATACATGATAATTGACTTAGGAAACCTGAGGAAGCTGAATCCTAAACCAGTGCCGGATCTCCACCACCCAATTCAGGACAACAGAAATCTATGGAACTCTGGGTGAAGTGAGCTGGGGTGCTTATACGGAGGGTTAGTGAAGAGTTGCTTCAAGGACAGTGAAGCCACAGATGTCCCTTCTTATTCTATGCTCTCCCTTTTTCTTCCCCGGTAAAAGACTGAAAGTTTGTTTTCTGGAGAAGGCAAAACAGATGGAGGAGCACTGGACACAGCTGTGAGCTTGAGTGCTTGACTGAAAACAAGGGAGGAAATAACTGGATGCTCCCTGAATCCTGAATGTGGGGCCCCTGAGTCTTCTCTCCCTGGGGCAAGAAGTGCTACAGCCAGAGCTCTAGTCTCCAGACAGAGAAGGAAAAATATCTGAAACCACCAATAAGACAGGCCCAACAATTTGACAGAAGAATTCTTTAACAAATAAATGGTCCATAGAAACCATCCTGCAGCAACTCTTGAAATTGTCCTGTTCCATCCAAACATAGTGTTTCCCTTCAGCTGTTCAGTCCTCCATCCTAAACCTAAACAAACAGCAAAGGGTTTCAATATGCCTTTTGACAATGTGAAAGATGGGGACTAACAGAAGCAAATAAATAAAAGCAAGCTGGAGGAAAACAGATTATACAGGAAAAATAGAGCTTCATTAAAGACCCAGAAAAAGTATAAATGATAATGTAGTCATTTAAAAAATCAAAAATACTAAAAAGGATCATTCAGAGAAACAAAATGAGCTCTGGGAAAAGCAAATACATGAGAGCAGAGATGCAAAACTCAGCATGAGAGTCTGGAGTTGAAATCGAGGAAGTTTCTCAGAAAGTAGAGAAAAAAGGCAAAGAGAGAAAGGTCTCTTGGTGAGATAATTCAAGGATTGGACCAGAGAATCCAACATCTGACAAAAAGGAGTCCTCCAGAAAAGAAGAAGGTAAAATGGAGAAAAGAAATGTATTAAATAAATCATTGAAAATTTTCCAGAACAGAAAGATGAGAACTGCCAAATCAGAAGAGCCCTTTGAGCTCCCAGTCCAGTGGATAAAAATAGATCCTGCCCAAGGCATGTGATTGTGAAATTTCAGGACACTGGGGACCTTTGGGAATTAGAATGTTTTTTGATTCCTCAAGACAACACTGGGAGCTAGAAAACAATGGAGAAAAAGCTTTGAAACTCCAAAACAATTCATATCCAACAAATGACATAAAAAGAGCAAAGCCATCAATAAAGTGAGAGCATGGTATAGGAACATTTTCAGACACACATCTGGAAAAATACATTTATCATGCATCCTTTCTCAGAAAGGACGTGCACTAACCAAACAAGGAAGTCATGCAGTAAAGAGAAAGACTTAGGGCTCAGAAAAGAGAAGATCCAACACAGGACCTCATGATGGTGGTGAAGGGAGATCCAAGAAGACAACTGTGCACGGATCTTATGAGGCAAGAGAACTGCTCTGGATTGGAACAGCATGAATCAAGAGATGACTATTGAGTGAGGTGTGTCTTCCCCTATGTGCTCTGCTGTTATTGCCTTTTTAATCCAAGTTGGGTAGGCATGGAATTAACACGTTAATTAGTTGCTTTCCATTTATTCAAAGAAGAAAATCTGTTTATTTCTTTGTCTGCGACAGTTAGTTATATAGGTCAAAAATTAGTAAAAACTGTTATTTATAAATTAGTAAATATTAGTAAAAATGTTACTTGTAAATTAGTAAAAAAATGTTACATATCTTATAATTCATATTAGAAATTTAAGGCAAGACATCACTATAGTTTCTACAGTCTTTTCTGGAATCACACATACATTATAAGCCAAGAGGGAAAAAAAGTTATCTTCGTGTGGAAGATATGACAGGAGAAGAATGATTTGTAATTTGGTGCGGGGGGAGGACGAGAAATCCCTTTAAAGAGTACATGAAATTATGGTCAAGAAAAATGCACAGTTGGATGCAGTGGCTCACACCTGTAATCCAACACTTTGGGAGGCTGAGGTGGGAGAACTGCTTAAGCCTAGGGATTCAAGACCAGCCCAGGCAACAAAGTGAGACCTCCATCTCCATATTACAAATACATACATACACATATATTTTTTTAAATAATTAAATTAAAAGAAAACACACACTCACATATAATTTTGCAAACTGTTTTGGGTGATGTTTTTTAACACACACACACACACACACACACACACACACACACACACACACA